GTCAGTCGGCCACAAGCCCGATCCTCCTTCATCCCTGATGAGATCTGGAGCATACGACTTGCCAAGAACCGCCTCAAAAAGGTCACCCGTGGCAGAACACAGCTGTGGCGTGATCTGATCACGCGAGCTTTTCAGAAATGGCGGATTGGTAGAGAGCCCAGACTGCTTGACATCATTGCGAAGCAGGGCCTCATGTACCAACTCGCTGCAGCTGCCATCCGCTTTGCGACCTCGCGCATCAGCTGTGGCATCGCCAAGGCCCGACAAGGCTTCCTCTCGGGCGTCATTTCCGAAGGGCACCAAGGAGCTAGCCAAGTCTTACGAAGGGTTCGTGCCGCTGGTCTTGGGGGTGCGAAGGCGAGAAACAAACGCAGGCCTCTACCTGCGCTGTTGAACCCTGCTGATGGCACTATTGTCGGCACACGTGAAAGCTACGACCAAGTCTGGCTGGAGCACTTCGGAGGCCAGGAGCAAGGAGAAGTGATAGCCACCAAAGACCTGATCCAGCAGGCGGCTCGGCCAATGCCTGCTGAGGATGTTGAGTGGAATTTCTCCTTCCTGCCCACACAAGCGGAGGTGCAAGAGGTTTTCCGTGTGCTACCGCGACGAAAAGCCGCCGGTTTGGACAACGTGCCCGGCGAAGTCCTGGTCAGTGGGCACTCTGCTTTGGCAGCAGTGCTGCATCCGCTGTTTGTCAAATCAATGGTTTGGGCCAAACAGCCGCTTCAGTGGAGAGGCGGCATTTTGTTTGAGTGCTACAAGCAGAGCGGCAGCTGCCAAGATGTTGCGAACTTCCGGAGCTTGTTTGTGAGCAGCATGATTGGCAAATGCTATCACAGGCTCATCAAGGACAAGATCCAGAGGCAAACCCAAACTGCGTTGCATCCGTTACACTGTGGCCCCCGTCAACGAGCCCCTGTCCTCTTTCCAGAGCTCTACATCTTGACACACGTGAGACGTTGTCACCGACTCAAGCTCAACTACGCGGTCCTGTTCTTGGACACCAAGAGTGCCTACTACAGTATTGCAAGGGAGCTTGTTGTCGGAGATATATGTCAGGATCGGACGGTGGTAAGGGTGTTGCAGCGGTTCAACCTTGGCCCTGAAGACCTGAGAGAGCTGATGGAAGTCATCTCCAGTGGAGGGGTCATGCAGCAGGCAGGCATTGAGCCTGCTCTCCGACAGGTGATTCGGGACCTCCACTACCAGACATGGTTTACAACGCGGTACGCAGATGGCAGTCGGGCGTGCCGCACATATGCCGGATCGAGACCAGGCGAGAGCTTTGCGGACACAATCTTCGCTTGGATTTACAGCAAATTGCTTTGCTCCATCTATGAAGCAGCTGCTGTTGAGGACCTTGCCTTTGCCCTGCCGTATGATGCTACCGCTGGTGTCTTCGGCACGGGTTTGGAAGGAGCAGACGAACAATCCTGGGACGCCACATGGGCTGATGACAGTGCCTTTCCGACAGCTGCTAGTTCGTGTGAGGAGGTTGTTAGAAAGGCGGTGAGGCTATCCGAGGTTGTCATTGGGACATGTATGGCTCATGGCCTCACCCCCAACATGAAGCCGGGCAAGACGAGCATGCTCCTCTACTTGAGAGGCAAGGACTCCGTCAAGGTCAAACGACGGCTCTTTGAGACAGGCAAGCCCACCCTGCCACTCGCCGACAGTAGCGACAGCGTCCCGCTTGTTCCCCAGTACCGGCACCTGGGAGGCTATGTCGACATCAACAACACGATGGTTGTTGAAGCCAGGCATCGAGTTGCCATGGCGACTCAGGCCTTTGACTCCTCGGCGAAACTGCTGCTTCAGCGATCAGATTTGGCCTTGAAAGTTCGAGCGGGGCTGTTTCACACGATTGTCACGGCCTCCCTCTTCAACATTGCCCTGTGGATACCCGAAGGGAAGGCATGGAGGTTGTTGACCAATGCCTACTCCCGCCTGGTGCGACGACTCCTGGCCCCTGTTGTCAAAGGGGAGCGCCTTTTCCATGTACCACTGCTTGCTGCGCATGTCGCTAGTGGCTGTTGGTGCTTGGAGTCTGTTGCCAAACGGGCTCGACTGGGATTGCTGCTCTCCTTGGTTACCCATGGCCCGGCTCTCCTCTGGGCAGCGCTCCAGAACGAAGGAGGATGGTTGAAGGTTCTCCAGGCTGATTTGCGATGGTTTGTGCAGGACAACCCTGGAGACTGGCCCCAGGTTCATGAAGCGGATTGGCCAAGATGGTGGAGTTGTCTCAAAGCAGCCCCAGCATGCTTCAAGCGGCAGGTTGTAAAGAAGCTCAAGATGGACCATCTCGCCATGTGTACACGTGCGGCTACCGATCTCTGTCATTGGCAGATGTACAAAATGTTGCCTCAACGGCAAGATGTTGCACAGCGGACTACCACATGGAAGTGCTGCATGTGTGATGTGTCCTTCAGCAGCAAGGCCAAGCTGAGCGTACACTTCTTCAAGCGACATCAGCGAGTTGCAGAGTACAGGCACTATGTGCAGGGCACCCACTGCGCTGGTTGTGGTAAGCAGTTCTGGAGTGGCAAGCGACTGATGGTCCACCTGCGGTCTGCCGCCGGATGTGTTGCCGCCCTGAAGCGCCAAGGCCGCCCTGTTGATTGCCTGACAGCAGGGTTTGGAAGCAGGAAGCAAAGGCAGGAGGATGTCGCGCAGTACACCCCTGCCGTCCCGCTGCAGATCGCCGACCCAGCCCCAGCAGGTGATAGTTGTGGTTGGAGTTGGTATCAGGCACAGCTCTATCGTGTGGCCTGTGCGGCTGCATTTGAGCATGATGAGCCGGATTCCTTCAGTCATTGCATCCTTGAGGCCATCAAGCAGTTTCCCCTCTACCCCGATGAGATCCTTTCTGTCGTTGAGTTCCTTGCTGAGGAGATGGAGTTTCTCTTCCAACAGGGGAATGAGCCAGAGTGGACACGGGAGACTTTGGATGGCTTCACAGAGGCATGCAAGAATGTCATTGAGGAAGTCCGGTGTCCCAACGATGCCTGCAGTCAACCTGCTGAGAAGCAGGACACCTTTGAGGTATTCCAACAAGCACTGCGGGTCATTGACTGGGCGAAGCTCTTGAATATCGCGGACCTACAACACGGGACCCGTCCTGATGTCTTGTGTCTGCCAGTCGACTGGGAAGCTGAGTGGACGACTAGCAGGGAGACACAAGGACTCTCAGCCGTGTTGGATAGCCCTTTTGCGGCGCTCCCATGGACCCTGCAACAGGCATGGACCAGAACCCTTGATGGGCAGTGTGTACGTCTCCATGCGCCCAAGCGGTTTTGGGAGCACCCTGTAGCCAGGCCTTTCGAGCCGCTACGTTCTTTTGCAAGTAATTAGGCGGCGTACACCTCTGATCGCAATCAAATGCAAAATATATATATATATATATATATATATGTATATACAATATGATAACTATATCTTATACTAAAACAAGTAGCTGCAGATACAAACATCCACACCCACACACAGAGAGGGTATCGCATGGTGTGGCAGGGTTCGCTGAACAAGGTCTTGTTGATAGATGGTAGCCGTAGTGGTGTTTGGCAAGGAAGCCGCAATTGAGGAAAGCCTTTTGTTCGCGGGGCTTGGGGCCTCGCAAGGCCCGAAACCCTCCACCTATTCTTTGCTTATCAGAGACGTGCTCGGAGCTCGCGAGCATGGGTGCTCATGTCCAGGCGGCAATTGGAACTATTGGCACAGGCTTACTGGTGGCCACCTAATTCACATTCTTGTGTTACTTCGGTCACCATAACTTACACAGAGCTTCTCAAACAAACCAATGCAAGCACCGTTGTGATGGGATCAACCCCTGGGGCAGTGGTGTTGGATTCTCAACGGCAGCCCAGCCACACTCGCTGGGAGGTCTGGAAGAACTTCCGCGAATGCCTGGGGGGACTTTGGACTCTGCATCGGCCGGGAATCTGCTTGACTTTGGAGCCAGAGTCTGAGTCGGAGCTACCGCATGCTTGAGTCGGGTTTTCAAGAGATTTCATCTTCATGAGAGTTTTGGGCATCAGTAGAAACTGCGGATCTGACTGTCGTGAAAAGCGACTAGCTGCACAAAAGGTCTGAGGTCGCGGCATGCAGCACAAGAAAGATGCATGCCGATGCAACGGCCATGGCTTTTAGCTAAGGGGTGAACAAGTGGTTGGGGACAAGCTTCTGCGAAGCCTGTACGCAGATTTAGGCTGGGGGCAATGGTGGAGGTTTGCATACTGTCGCTGCAGATCGGAAGTAGTCTTGCGCGACTGAGCAGTTCGTGCCACGTTGCTAGTTTCGCTGCTTTGGGCTGGAACTGAAGACCAGCTGTTGCATGAACGCCGGTACATTCGGCACGCGCAGCAGCGTTATCGATTTAGGTAGTTGTTGGGCGTGAATGCTGGAGCCAGTGTCGGGGCAATTTTCGTGCGTCCCCGTGCTCCGATTCTAACAGTCGCTGCATTGCGTGGAGCACAGAACTTTGGTTCCCTAGCCCTGACTTCCGAATCGACATGACAAGCTCTTAAGTCCAGCGGTTGCTTTGTGACTTGAGAGCCCTAGCTCCCCAAGGCAACGGCGACCTTGACGACTGGCATGTCTTTGACCTGCTTGAGCATGCCAACCTCGGTTTTAAGCTGAGGCCTGTGCCTTCGTCTGTGTGTGTTTGCTCATTTTTGTCGTGTTGGTGACGTTGCAAATTCTGCCCAATGCCCGAGCACTACCCAACCCCAAAGCAGAACACAAACTGTAACGGTCCTAAAGGACCTCAACCAGATGTGATGAGCCTGATGACTGGCGCACAGGTACAGCAACATCTCTCAGTCCTGGACGCACTGAGAGCCTTGACCTGGAAAGAGCAGCGCGACCTGAGACAAGGGAGCCTTTGCCAGACCAAGGCAAACGGAAGATCCCTTGGCAGAACTGTTCATGAGGATCCCAGAAAGGACTTTCGATTGTGGCTTGTTCTGCATACCTCCACCCGAGGACCTGAAACACCAACGTTCTCATTCCAGGTCTCGGACTGGAAGCGTGGCAGGCTCTGCAGGAGTGGCTGGCAATGCCTCGATTCGGCTTGCACGGCTGTGTTCGGGACTTTCAGTTGCAAGCTTCGTTTGATAGCGTCCAATCAGAAAGACACCGTTGAGTGCTTGGGTTCGCAAATTGTGGGCATAGACTAGGGTACCCTGGGATCACCTCGGCTGGAGCTGCGGTGACCTACTACACCGGGCATCGACATTAAATTCTGGACCAGGAGGATGCATGCATATGCGCTGGGCAGAAGAACTTTTGTTCATAAGCATTCTGAAACTGACTTGCGAAGACTCCCCCGAGATTTCTGCTCCGGACCTTGGGGGCCGCTGGCGTGACGATCTTGGGGGCATCCAGCATCTGCACCACCTCTTCCTGAAGATCTACTTCTGCGATCTTCACTCGCAAAGGCGCCGTGGCGACTCTTCGGTTTGCGACCGTCGGCCTCGTCGTCGTCGTCCTTGATGGGGCCGGTTCCGTACTTCATAGGGTCGAAGCCTAAGCTGCTTGCACCGTGGCGGACTTTGATGTGCGAGCAAGCTTTGGAGTCTTGGGAGCTCCGGGGCCCGCACCGTTCGCCTCCGCAGCACCGGGCCTGGAAGAGAAGTACCTGACCGGTTGGAAGCTTCAGCTTGGAGGACAGTATTGGTGCTCGGGCTGGAACCGATGGCCTGGTAGATTCTGCTTTGCTAGGCTTCGGTATGTCTGGAGGGAAGTGGCTTCCTCTTTGCCCTCAGCAGCCGACCCCTTTGGCGGCTTCTTGCCCCACTGCCAGCACCCGTAGACCTCGGAAGTCAGGGGTTTCGTAGCGTTAGCTCAGGCTGAAGGCTGATGTTGGCCCTGGGCTCGATGACTAAGGTCGGCAGGATGAACTGATTCCCTGCTTCCCTTAACGTGACGAGAAATCCTTCCGTTCCAGTCTCTATGGACGCCTAGCGCTTGTGCCCTTGAGCTGATGACGGGATTGCCGGGCTTTGCGTTCGAAGACAGGCCAGGCCCAAACGACAACAAGCGATAGCAATCAGTCGTGTATCCAACGGCGCCTGAGGCTGCGTGTGTGTTTCGATGGTGGAAGGCTTCAAACGCTCAAGGACCAACCGAGACTTTGTATCTCAATGCAAAGCTGTGTCAATGACGGATCGAAATTCAACGAGCACTGAAGCACGACCCACAAAATCCGAAGAACCTGCGTTAACCAGGTACATGCAGGTAGATATTCAGCGATCGGGCCTTCGCGTTGTTGCCCTCGCCAGAAGGAACATACCAGCCATAAGGGGTGTCCTGCCAGGGCTCAACAGCTGCGAACCAACCGTGAACTGGTGTGCAGCAGTATATGCACGCTCAAGGAGCAGCCTTCTGGAAGCCGAGTTTCTACTGACACGTGCCTTCTCGGATTGCTCCAAGACCTCTACGATGTCATCATAGCCGGACTCCTGCAGCAAGTCCAAAGGACGGACTTGCTCCAAGGACGTGACCCGTCCCACGTTTGTGTAGCATGTGTTGAACTGAAGTGAACCCCGTACAAAAGGGGGAGCCCGACTTCCATCTGCAGCCGTTGCTGCAGAGCGCCATTGCTATGACGGGAAAACGGCCTTTGCTTTGCCAATCGTTGGCCGTTGATGTGGAGCCCTTCCTCAGCCCTCAGCATCTGAAACCCGGAAATCTTGTCCCAAACCTTGCAAAGTGGTCAAGTCTGGGACATCCTTGGACCTGAAGGTCGAAACCGAGGCAAGCTGCAACACTCATATGCATGATGGCCCCCCCTCCGGGATCCTTGGCAAACTCCAGCGCTGTTCGGCCGTCCTGTTCAAGAGCCAGGATGCCATGGGTAGGAAAGGACGAGCAAATCAGGAGTTGTCATTGAAGTCCCGATCGGCCTCGGGATCGTTTCCGTAATTCATGCTCTCCTTGACGTGGGGGTCTGCCTGTAGTCACTCAAGACAACAGGTCATGTAAGGTTCATGCAGGCACTTGGAGGTGCGCGCTGCCTTCGCCTTAAGCAAGAGCGCCACGCACTCCGTCTGTCCGGCCATCGCGGCCATCTGCATGGCGGTGATCTGAGTCAAAGGGCCGCTTGCCAGGACTTGCTCTCACAATGTAAACCTGGAAACAAATCCTGAGTCACTACAACTATAGCTCAGCCTACAGAGGCTCACACATTGTTGACGAAGCCATTCAAGTCGCCGTTGAACAATGTTTTCTCGTCGCCGGTTGCCAGCATTTCCTGCTTCGACTCGACTTCGGGGGCGCTTCTGGACCGAGGACTGTGCTGCAGTGGTGCTACACGCGGTGCATAATGAAAGAGTCTGGACAATGCATGAAGCATGCAGCTTTGCAGCGAACCGTAAGTTGTGTTTATTACTCCAAGGCGGAAACTTTATAGATCTTAATGATTACTCCAAGCCGGAAACTTCACAGATCTATACATTATAAAGCAGATCACCAGCTTGAGCGCTGTTGAGACGATGGCTTCGTCGAAATGGAACTGGCCTCCAGCTTGTCGTAGTCGCCTGTGTACGACGCCTGGTCACAACTTATCACAACTTTTGACCCGCACTTCAGCTGCTTTTGTGGTTTCCTCAAGGCGGTCCGGTAACCAGTTCGGTATCTCCCTCGTCGGACACGCAATGCTAATTTCAGATGGGACGGTGCGCGATCGCGCCTCGCAAACAGCCTTCAGATCGACGAGGTTGTGCTTCATGTATCGCCTTCAACAAGACACATCTGCCGCCTGCGAAACCTGACTGAGCCTGAGCATGCCTTCTCATTAAAGTCTCTCTGCAGGAGTTGAGCGCAGGTGCTAAGGCCGTCTGATCAGAACGCAACGAGAACCCACACGACTCAGTGCAAAGCCGTCGTGATGTGAGTACTTGGAAACAAGTAGCGCTGAATCGTTCTGAACAGCATGCTGCTTCAAATCACAACATCGAGCATCGGTGGCTGGTTACCACCTTTTGCTCTTAGCGACTCGCCGAAACAGGGCCTGAAGAGCTCGCTCCATAAGCTAACTGCAACATCTGGGGCCCGGTCTTGGTGTTGGGAATGGCATTCCTGAAGCCACTGGTTGGCACGCCCTGGGCAAGCGAACTTGAGACATGGTTCCTTCCTGACCTTTTACCACCCTGCAGTGCCGCAGCTCAAACTTCCTAATACATTCTGAGGCTTTGAGGCGCAAGCGCTGGGAATCTCGATATCTGTGCCTGGATGGTACTCTGGCATGGCCTTCCAAAAGTCATGTTCTGCACAGTCAGGGAGAACAAGGCTGCCGGGATAGTTACAAGCTATTATACGGTCTCATCATCCCACGCATTTCTGCCGTTTCCAAGACAGTTGGAGAGGCCTGGATCCGCGCAGCCACTCGATGTGGGGCTTCGAGATAGATCGGCGTCTCAAGCCCGACAATGGCAGCAAGACCAAGCAGAGTGGTTGCATAACGTGATGCCGCGAGAGCCAGCGACACACACAACTCCCCGCACAGCCTGAGTGAGGACACTGCAAACGAACAAACATTCTTGCGCAGACACGCTGCCTTCTGACCTATTGCGTGGACCTTTGCCACGGCTCTACAGGAAAAATCTCATTGGCACCGTTTGTGCCAGACTCGTTTCAAGTCTCTTCTGAGTCCAGAAGAGTGTTTAGCTGATCATATGCATGATCGTTCGATTCTTTCTCCTTCTTTAACCTTGCAGCCTAAGCACTCGTCCGACTAGACGTCGAAAGCGAAGAACAGACAGCCGTGATCTGTCGCAAAGTCTGTTTCCGAACGCTCATGTTGGCTCATCTTTGCGCAGCTGACTTGCAACGGCGGCGCCATAGCGGGCCAAGGGCCGGCGGTCCCGCCTTGGTGGGAGCCCAGGCCCATGCGTGAAACTGCGACTGCAAATTTGCTGGACCGTGGTGTGATACGGCTGATGAAGGCTTCACGATTTCATGCCGCCTTGTAGGATTGTAGGTGTGTACCTCCTGCACACGGCAAGACCACAAGAGCGAGTGACCACGCACCCGGCCCCAAGCTCCAAACGGCACTCGCACTGCACGGCTGCCAAGCAGCATCTGTGACCGGATCTGGAAGAACCGCCGCAACTCGCTGCTGAACCAAGGTCCTTCAAAAGGTCGGTGGCACAGCACTTTGACTACTGGTGTATGCTGAAAGCCGGAAGAGGCTTGGATGGTGGGTAACAGTTGCCCTGCTGCAGACACCGAGTGGCATGTGAAATACGACAGCATTCATAGGGCGAAACTCAAAGGCCCACACGACAAACCTTCCGGCATCATCAGTTTTCAACAGGGCTCGCCTTGCGCTCGTAGCTGCTCGTGCATCTAAAGGTATTCTTGGGGTGAGAGCTTCTTCGTGCACACTCCGACCCCTGGCCAGGCCTTCTGTGTCTTCTGGCAGTATGCCGTCCTGCTGAAAAGCCAGAAGTGGAACAGTTGGGAACCCTATTCTGCTGCTAGATGCAAGTCTTGGCTTGAGATACGCTGGTCAAGGAAGATGGGCACACTTTGCAGCGAACAAGCACTTCTTGCAGCTTTGTGGCGAGGGACCGGACGTATGGTGCAGCCTGCTACAGAACACGGTAAGGCTGGGGCCAGGGTCGGATTTAACACAGATAAAAGTCGATTCTGAATTCTTTGGATTGCAAACAGATTAACTGGACACTGAAGTCGACACCAGGCCGGGTCTTCACTGGATACCGTCGTCGCTTGAACGACGACGAAGCATTCGAAGCCGCAATCAGAAACGGGAATGCACCGTACGCCGATCTAAGTAGTACATATGGCCTCCGACGAAAACTGGCGGGAGTAGAACTGATCCAACTCTTCTGCCTCCTGCTGCAAAGGTTCACACAACCAGGTCTCGGCTTCCATGTGCGCTGGAAGACTGCTAAGCATGACAATGCAAAACAAGACAGTCTGCTCCACATGCGCTCATCCTGCTGCTCGAGGTGTGAGAAGCTCAGCCATTCGATGATTTATCCCGACCCACCGCTTCGTTTTTGACCAGGGATAGGCTTGATGCCAGTGACAACACGAATAAAGTACGAAATCAAGCTAACATTAGCAGCTGGTGCTTCTCCAAACTTTGGGCATGCTCGGCACGGTCCGCTCAGAACTCCCGCACTCAGCAAAGCCCTTTCATTGCCGAAACCTCGAAGCCCCTTCTCGTCCTGTCTCTCGTTTTCTCTCCACACCCAGCACTGCAGGCGGGCTTCCGCCCCTTGCTCTTCCTTCCTTCCGTTCGGGCGAGGTCCTTTCTCGCTCTGTCTCTCCGCCTCAAAGCCACAGATTCGAGTTTCAATGAATCTTGAACTCAAGATGCATGCAGAGCAGCTCCTTCTCGGACTTGCCTTGCCGACTCAGGGCCACCTCAGGCTGAGACGAGGAATTCCTGCGAAGTAACTTGACTTCGGTCGAAACATTCTGATTTACGGTCTGCCTTCGAGTGGAGAATGCTGCCGCAAGCTCCAGCCTTCTATTCCTCTATGTTTAGAACAGTGAAACAAGCTTGTGTTTCGAAAGCAGACCCTCGAAAGATTCAACATCACACGAGGAGTGGGATTGCAAGCCGCTTTAACTTCGAGTATGCAGGCGAGAACGATTGAGCAAATGGAAGGTTGAGAGCTGAATTTGAAAGCTTGAGGCGACAGTGGGGGCCGTTGAGGGCATGGGTTGATCCCAGTGCACCCTGTCGAGTTCGCCAGCATGACAGTGCGAAAGTTGGAGAGGTCGGACTCTTTTCAATGAGAGTTCGAAAGTTTCGGACAATGACCGGCTTGGAGCTTCAGCGACTGAACGTTTCGAATTACAGCACAGCGAAGAAAAATAGGTGGAGGACGAAAAGGCATGCATGCATATTCAAGATGAAAGCTTAACAGTTTCCAGGTTATCTAACTGGGTAATTACCATGTTCGACAGGCTTGCATTTGGAAAGAATGGTCCGCGGCTTGCAGAAACTACTCTGCGCAGGCTTGACGAGGGTGCTTACGCGATGACATGGCCCCGCACTCGATCCACCAGCAGGACATCGTCCATGACACAGAAAGGCAGAACATCGTGACGCACCTGTCAGAGACTGGTAGCGCTGCTGAGCATTCTGACTTCGATTGCCTTCGGTTGTCCTTTTGCTTTACCGGGACTGGGGGGGGCTCACTTGTACAGCTTTCCGAAGCCAAGCCTCCAATCCTAATTCCCACTAGTCGGCATCACTCGACCGGGACGCGGGTCCCATCAGCCGCATGGCTCACACTGGACTGCTCCTGTTGACCAGCCTTCGTCATCATGGTGCAAAAAGAGCTGGTACCAACCGTAGTAAACTGGTGGAGGACTGCGCCTTTGGCAACCTGCAGGCGAAGGATCGGGCTACAAATGACGCAGCCTTAAGCCAGTCAAGCCCAAACACCTGCTGCCTACGAGTGTGCAGAACAAAGGCAGAAGAAGCCGTCTACCAACTGATGTACTGGCATATATTATATAGTAAACGACCGACCTTGGGCAGTACGCAGCTATATGCCAAGCAAAGCCCCAAGACACGTGCACGTGGCCGGGACAGGCACGCCTTGGCATTCGCCATGAGATGGCAGTATCCAGCCAGCTCTCCATTCAGAAAGACTCCGTCTTCCAGAACCTTCTGGTGCACAGGCCCGCATGTCTCATGAGTCGGTTGTTTCGTTGGGCATGAGCTGTCGGAAGCTCTGGCTGCCCCGGTGTCAATCTTACGCACTTCCCAGGTCAATTCAACGTGGAAGTCCTGCTAAGATGATTCTTGTCACCTCCTCAAGAAAAAATGTCAATAGAAGGAGAGGATGATGCCATGAGGCCAGCAAGAAATCGCATTGAAGCAGAACGAATTCCGAACGAACTGATCTACACGCACACTTACGTTATTGTTGGTATTCTCACCCTGATCTGACCAGGGCTGACATCACAGTTCTAGGGACCAGGCACAATCGTGAGAGACTTCACCCTTCAATTGGACCATAACCTGACGGCAGACGAAAGAGGCAACGGTGGGCTGTGGAGTCTAGCGTAGCGAGAGCAAAATACCTCTGCTACAAGGCATGAGTATGCTGAAGTGAAGCAAAACGCAAGAACGCCGAAAGTGCTCAGGGCCCAGCACCGTTCCCGATTCGGGTCACCTCGAGCACGGACAGGATTCACTGTTGAGGCGTATGGCGAGGTGATCGGAAGTAGGCGGGTTGCAGGAGCAACAGACCCACACCCTAGGGGGGACACGCCAACACGAGAATACACCTACATGTACAGCCACTGGGACGTCAATGAATCCTCCGAGCTCGGTGCCCCTGGCTTGCCGTTGAGACCTCTTGGCGCAAGCACCTGTAGACCCGCAGGCTGTCTCTTCTTACGGATGCTGGCATCTTTAAAGTTCTGCTTGCTATGTTGCTGCAAGCATAGCAGTCACGACACACATAAGCATACATACAGTCATGCACGCATATATGCATACATACATACATACATACATGCATGCATTCAGGAGTGCGTGCGACGTGCGTACATACATGCACAGACAGACAGTGACAATGAGACAGACGGACAGAAAAAACATTAGATCTTTGAGGGATGCCCAGGACTCTTGATTCTTGGCTCTCGGTTCCGGCCCGGCTGCATAGAAATCTGTATTGAAAGCAAGAACTTCAATGTACCAGGACCTCGGGGAACAAGCAAGAGGATTCCGCGATACATAATCACATGGTTTCATTCGGATGAATCGGTATTTCATGCAGGTCCATTTGCATGAGTGTCGTTGTGAAGCGAGTGAATTGGTGATTCGTGTGGCTTAGTGAAGGCCTAGTGTGCATGAATGTTGCTTGGCGCTGCTGAAAGCCACCTAGATCTTTGGAGGGACCACCACATCATAATTATCAGGTCCTCTAGACCTCGTAGTGGACTTGGCAAGGATCGAGAGAGGGCCTACGCAATCTGCATGTTTGTATCCAAGTCCGAGTCCTGTATCGTGAAAAAGTCGCACCCATTCAAAGACTCACAGAATCCTATTCAGCCCATGGCAGGCTTCAAACTCCAAGGTCAGAATGGAGTCCATCCGAATCCGCCACGCCGTTGCAAGAGACTGTGCTGGATGATATAACCTGCCCCTGCCGCCACTTTTCAACCCCTGGCCAGCAGCTCTCGGCTTTCAGCTCGCCTGTCCTGTACAATCTTGCTTGGATAAGAGCAGGAGGCACTGCTTGGAGGGCCTACGTCGCTTTTCGCAGCCACCAAAAGGCCATGCAGAGCTTTGGGCCCCTGCTCCTCCAGAGGCTAAATGCCTCTGTGCCGCTGTGGGGTCCGGAACTTCGTAAAGTCACTGCAAGTGATTTCATCTTGCAACGATCTTCCGGAACACTCCCCGGTGACAAAGTCCTCATGCGTCTCGCACGATGTCGAGCTAGATCCACCTCTGAACTCGTTGCCTGTTTCCTTTGATGGGGATCCATATGCAGCTGTATTGGTCTCGTTTCGTCTAGTCCTCAGCAGTAAGAGACTGAATGATACCCCTGGATCATCCGTGCTACATTCCATTCCTCGCACGGTTGGCACTTCTGTTATCCGCGTTACCTGGCTACGGCCATGTGCCGTCTTTTCAAACAGGCAGCAGGTTCAGTGTACTTTGGAACCCTTCTGGCTGGACGGTCCGACTGCTGAGAGTCTTCATGATCTAGACTTACGGCTGAACAGCACCGGGATTTCCAGCACCGGTGTAAAGTGTCGGCCACGACTCAGAAACTTCTACCAAAAACTTATGCTGGCTGCTGAAGCTCTACTCTTGTGTGGCTCCTGCTGCCTTGGGCAGATCAGGCCTATGGAACGAAGGCTCAAGGATGCTTCAAGGCACGCTATAGCTTGATTAAGCTTTTGCCGGCATCCTCAGAGCCCAAGATCCCCAAGAGTCAGAGTGTTGAAGCCTTTGCGCTATCCTTGTAAGACTGGATGCTTCGTGGCTTCGTCATGATGGAGCAAGGGCCCCAATTGTCAAGCTTAAGAAATAATGCAGGCGCACGGTCCCCGCTTGCGCTTGCGCCGTTTGGGCAGGGGTCGGCTTTCTAAGCCAGCGCACTCGCGCCATATTCGCCTCAGGAGCACTTCTCGAGCTTGAGGGATGAACCGCAAATCTAGAGAAAGAGCTTGCCTACAGCTCGTTGTATACATGCACATACCAATCACAGCACATGGGGCATGCTGCACCCGCTTGTCGACTGCAAACGAGAGTATGGGGACGACATGAGAGAAGGAACATCCATGCAGCTACTTCCGGGTTGAAGCGATGTAAACTCAACTGCAAGCTGCATGGAGTGGACCGCGAAACCAGGAAGGTCGCCGTCAGCCCACAGCTGTTCGAGGCATAGGTAGAAAGCCTCTGCCTCCAAGCACGACGCGGAGGTCTGTTTCTAGAAGCTCTACGGTCCACGATTCCACCGGAAAAGTATCAAGAATCAAGAACAGAGCGGTAACTGCCACTCCTACACGCTCGAGCTCAGGCAGCCTCATCGAGCAGCCCCAAGAGTCTCAAGCTGATCAAGACTCGAGATATTCGAAACCAATTGTGATTGCCCTCTGGGCAGTTCACGACCTCGGCTGCGAGAAAAGGCTCCGCCAATTCTTCAGACTGCTTTCTCAAGGGCCCGCTCGCACTGCAGCTTTTCCTCCGTGTGCTCTCACTCTCTCATCGTTCTTGCATCTTCTTTCCACCCGTGCTTGTGCCAGCATGCTTGGACGCGCCTGTGTGTCCCCCCAAGCCTCCGGGCATGAAACTAGTTTCTCTCCCGCCCACGGAGCGGAGTTTGCGGAATCGACAGAAGAAACCTGTCCGTAGTTCGATACTGCAGTTCCAGGTACACATGAAGAGGTCCTCTCCTTTTGGAACACTGTGTGCAGCTCAGGCTCCCAGCAATCGATTCGCCTTGAGCGAAAACTCGATGCCTTTCGCACAGTCACTGCCACTTTGCGTGCCGGTACATCCTGGGCCGATTGCAGCTTGCAAGAGGATGGCTCTTTCGTGTCGGAAGTTGCTGTCCATCCCTCGGGGCTTTCCAGCACATGGAGATGCACCATCCAAAAGCCAATTTCATACAAATTTCGGCGTGTACCGAACTCCGGGACCACTGCATCCAACTTCGAACAAACATTCGCCCCGACACTGACGCATTCTCTTGTGAGCCAGTGGACCAGTCGACTCTACTTCACACGCTGGAATATTAATTTGCAAACTTCCTCTGCCCCTGCATGATTCGTGATTTCCACACGGAATCCCCAACATCAAGAGGTTAGGAAGGACTAAACAAAGTCGTGTCATCGATCTGATGTGTACGGGATGAAACAAGCCGACCACGAAATCCATGCTGCTACACGATAGTAAAGCAGCTCTTCGGCATGCTGGAGCAGCTCAACATTGCTTCTTTACTGATGGTTGGTGCTTCAAGGCTATGGGAGTCCAGTCGCACTTGGGGTTTGAGGGCTCACCTCGCTTGCGCCGCTCAGCGTGCTGAGAGAGTTCACCGCCGCTACCGCCACCTCCTGCGGCTCCTGTGCAAGAGCAGTATCTGACAGTGCCAGAGCATTCGTGTGGCTCCAGTTGGGGCCGAACCCTGATAAGTCTCCAATCCGACGACAAACGGATCGCTTCCCAACACCTCGTCCGTGTAGGTGATCTGTAGGCCCAGGAACTGCCTCGGTGGCTTCATGCTGTGTCCTGGCCTGATGTGAACCGATCCTGCTTAGCCGAAGCAGCATGAACTTCTCCAAGGACCGGATCAAACTGTCCTCAACCTCGGAGCACAGCTTTGGACTTGGACTCCGAGGCTTTGGATCTCAAAGAGGCGCAATGCCTAATCTAAAGCAGAACTGCTGACAGAGAGGCTGCCGAATCGACCAGCATCTGCTCCTGAATCTCCGGTGTGAGCACCGGAGCTTCAGGGTGGTACTCCTCAGGTCTGGGCGGGAGCTTTGAGGGAAGGGACTTAGTGGTCATGCTAGGTAATCGACTGCGGCGCCTTATTCGATCAAAGTCTGTGCCCAGAGCAGCCGAAACATGAGACGATATGCCTGATCATCGATCCACCGTTCCAGACAGAGCAGCAACAAACTCCAATGCCAAGGGGCGATGTCTAGATGCGGCAAAGCTTCACTTTCCTCATCCGTGGGGAAGAGCCACTGGATGTAGTTGTGCCGATCTGGATGCCGAACAACTATAAGGAACAGGCACAGACCGTTTCAGAGTGCTCTTGTCTTGGTAGCACAAATGGCAGGTGCTTCAAGCTCGTGGCCTTGTTCTTGCAGATTACGGGTGGCCGGAATTGGCTGTCTCAACTCATCCAGTTGGGAACTAGTAGCAGTAACTAGCTGACCATGAGGCACCGTCTCGGTGATGTTGGCAAATGTTGGTATGACTCGCAGGTCTGGGGCTACGACTCTCCCAGTCGTCCAACGTCCAAGCCAAGATGTCTTCGAGGTCTTTGCCCTCCGGACCAGGGCCGAAGCCACCTGAAATAACAACAAGGTCAGCTGGCGCGCAGGTAGTGGGATGATGCCTGACTTTTGGTGCAAGATCTATGAACGAGTAGCGCTTCTGCGGATGGGCTGAATTGGAATCTACATGTCTCAAAGCTGCCAGCAAAGTCCGTGTCTGATTGGCGGAATACTTGCGTCCACCGTGCGCTTTGTCAACGCTGAAATTACAAGAGAGCGAGAGGCGCACAAAAGAACATGCCGCTCGATTTTGCCCCTTTCTGTATTCTTAACCAGGTGTGCATTCGGCGCAACGGTTCTGCATGCTCTGCTCAGTTCCGGACGAAGGAAAGCCAACAGTGTCTCCGGAGAAGGCCGATCTGCCGGATTCTCCACTGGCCTTGTTCAAAGAGCATGCGCTGACTGTGGAATGGCTGCGCTACCGAGATGTCTGAGACGTTTGTGAGATGTCGAGCACCTTTACCCTGACATGCGGTGTCTACATTCGAAACTGCCTTGCGCCCCAGACCCGATAATGTCGTGGCCGGGCAGCTTCTTTGCGTTCATGCCCGCGACCATCACCCTCTTCCGACCCCGGCGAAAGTTCTTTGCACTTTTGCCGGTGTGCCTCCAAGGGCCAGGCAAGATGACATAGGTGTGAGCACGGCTTCGTACCTTGCCCCTACAATGCCTCGGTGTGACCACAGAAAGGTCACCCATGCTCTTCGCCGTCCGGGAAGGATGCCCTGAGGTCCAGATGGCAACTTTCTGTCTTTTTGTCTTATCAAACTTATGTCCAAGCTTCGCCGACGTGCACGAAGCAGCTTCAGGAATGGAAGTTGGAAACGCAGATCTAGGATCTTCATCCGACCGAGGCAGGGAGCGCTCAAGTAGAGTTTAGGTTGAGCTGCAAACCGCAGACACCTCAAACCAGAACTTCAGGGGCGCATGACATCTCCGCTAAGCCGGACTAGAATTCCTGGCCGAATTGCGTCGGGAGCCCACCGAGCGCCGGGAGCTCACGGAGCGAATGGACTTCATCTTCATGAGCTGAGCGATGCCTCCAGGGCGGAGGGCGGAGGGGAGGAGGGCGACTTATGGTGCGTGATCTTCCACTACCCCGTCGGTTGAACTACATCACTGTCGAAGTGTCAGAGCTGGACATAAGTCCACAACTGCGACTCCATCAGCAGGACAGAATCACAGGACATCACCAGCCTCAGCAGTTCTCTCCACCACGAAAGAATCCCTGCTAGGCAGCCCGCAAGAACATCGGTCGGTCGACGAAGCTGTGTGGACTGGAACTCCGAGTTCTGGCAGCCCTGCCTCGATCCGAACCCGGCGACATGGCAGAATCTGCAGAGGGACTCAGCGTCGCGGGCTGGTTCATGGGCGAATCCTTGTAAGAGCAACGACAAGTCAGTGTCAGTGTTCGTGGAAGATGCAGGATTCTGCACGGCTGCGTGGAGTCACCACATGCAACTCAGGAAAGGCCACAGGTCCACATTCCAAAGGATGGATAGTGTTTGCTTCCTTCGAAACTCGAAACCCAAACCCACTCTTCACCATGTTGAGCATGTGCTTGAAAAACATCTTTCAGCTCGTGGTGTGTTTGGGGTTGAGGGTTTGAAACGACATCTACGGTCGGGCGTAACTGCTGAGATGGCTTCAGGCTCCTTTGACTCAACCCTGCCGAGCTTCGCCAGCAGTCAACAAACCATCATGACTGAGGGGTCTCCCAGGCAGCCTCACCTGTTCAGGTCATTATCGCAGCATTGGTGGTGGCGATCGGCTGCAAATGGCAAGTGGCACCTCTTTTTCCCATCTTAAAGCGGCGTCCTCGTCCTCGTCGAGGCAATCGACTCCTTGAGCTTTCTGAGATGGGGGTGACAGGACAGGGCAGCTACAGAGTGCTTCGTAGTGCCTGTGGCAATTGGTCAGACGGTCAGACTCCTAGCACTAGCGGCCTAGCGTTGGTGCCGCGTGTTAAGCTGTCAGACACTGAGCCCCAAGACGCGGAAACGATCGCTTTGTTGGCTATCGTACACTCCCAGGCGCGAGCCAGCATGCGGCTTCCAGCAAGCTCGAAGGTTGGAGAATGCTTCTAGCATGAGCTCGCTCTTGGGTGGTAGAACCCTATGGCATGCTAAAAGGCAAATTCTTGCAGTCCGAACCCTTTGAGATGAATCACGAGCGATCCCTGCTTCCCTTGAGGTTTAGTGTTTAGTGTTCATGGCTCCACCAAGCGGGGTTGATGGATCGGACTCGGCCGCTGCGACTTTGATGGTCATGGCCCGGCCCATCTTCATCAGCCTCGGGAACGCCACAATTAACAGCTGCCCGGATGCTTGAAAAAGGGACAGAATCCCCCAGGGCTCGGAACTTTCAGCCCAGAGCTCCCTGGTGACAGCCTCTATCAACGTGGGCAGTACATATTACGGAGATCTACTCTTCCGTCGTCTCTTCTGCACCCCAGCAACTCAGGGTCCGTTTCGCATCGGCTCATTGCCGATACCTGGCTAGAGGTCCCCAGATCCTTCCGAGCAAGTGCACTTTCAAAAGCCTTACATATGCGGCTCATGAGGTTGCAATGCGTGTTTGTGTGTGTGTGTGAATGATTGTCGTGCAGGCTGTACTTTGACACTCTTGTCTGCGGGTTTCTTGGCATTGGCTGCCCCCTCCGAACGTTCACGTGGCGGAACCGGCCCAACCCGCCGTCTGTGTCAGTTTGGGGGAGCGAACAAGATCAGTCCTGAGAGAAGTTGGCGCGCGGCAGCTGGAGCTCCTTAGCAGAGAACATACTCTCTGAGCGTGACCAGATTCGAGCCTTCCGAAACTAAATGTTTTCGGGTCCATCCTGAAGCTACCAAGCAAGCCCACAGCCACAGATTTGTATATTTTCCGGACAAGTCATTTAAATGTGAGCTTTTCAGTGCCTCAAGTAGTTCAAGAATGCTTCGTGCAACACCGACGCCCAGCGTCTCCCGGCCGAGGTTCTCTGGAGGCTGCCGATAATCGTGCCCCGTCATCGCTTGACAGGGTCAGACTAGCTGCCAGGATGCTGCTTCCGCTGCTGCTGGCCACCAAGTTGGGCCGAACGTCCATAGCGAGGGCCGCAAACCCCACACTAGCAGCTGGCAGCTGGCAAAGTTACGAAGTTCGAGCTCATCGGGCATTTTGCAGGAGGCTCTGGCAGCACACAGCTTCATTTTGTCACGACTTCATGTGGGGTTCGGATCTCTTTGTGAATGCAAGGGTGCAGGGAGCTGTTGTGGCAGTGACGAGTTGTGAAATACTAAAAGGTGCGATTCTGACCCAGGGTCGTCTAGGTCCTCGTTTCGAACGTTGTGCGATTCTCTCAGGGTGCCGGCATGTACATTCTCGTTCTAGTCCTGTGCACGGCTTGGCCGTGCAGCTTTGTGGAGCCAGCCGCGGGCGCCACGGTAGGTTTCGATCATGCCCCAGCAGGTACAGGTAAAGCTCGGTACAGGTCTGCAGTTCTTGCCACGTGAAGTGCTTGAAGACCGAACTCGAACTCAGGAATAAGGTCCACGCAACGGAACCAATCTCGAACAAACAGTCGTCGCCGATGCTGACGTGGCCTGGCAGAGATCCACAGCTAGAGCCGAGAAGCACTTCATGCCAACATGTCCGTTTGCAAACATTGCACTGACTGATGTTAGTGAGTGCAGGCTGCACGAGATGACGAGACATGATGCTGCTTGCCAACATGCTCTACACCATCGAACGTCATTGTGCTACCAACTGAGCTGCTTCCGCACCCTGAGGCAGCTGCCGTTCGGGAGCGCCCCCGAAAGCCGGCTGTGACAACCTGAACTTGTAGCTTGTACGAACAGCAGAATGTTGTTGCTGCATGCTCAGTGCAGTATGTGTCCGTTGGAGACCGGAAATAGCAGCACCTTAGTCCAGGAGATGCTCTTCTTCTTCGACGACAGCCCACGACCTGAAGCCCACATCATAGTTGAGAAGCCTGGACCCGAGCCAAATCCTCTTCACAATGTAGGCACACTTTTGGGCGAGGAGCCAATACAGCATCCCTCGTCGAACCGGTTTCGCTTTCCTGCCACCAACGGGCCCCGCAGGAGGCCCCGGGAACCGACCTGCTGTCAGAGCGCGGCATGCCAACACTTGGCCCAGGCCCTCGTCTAGGCTACCCATGCTGCACAAACTTACGGTGATGGCTCGCCTCGCAGTCTTCTTCAAGGGTCACATCTTCCTGTCACTGCTTTAGGCAGCGATTAGACTGGAGAGCGGGCTGCGCATGTTGCTGCGGATGACAGGCTTAAAACTCTCTTCGAAATGGCCATGAAGGCCGACAGGTTGAGGACTCGGATCCTCCACAATCGCCATGGCGGCAATGCGGCAGCGTGCTCCCAGCCGGACCCTGGGCCCAACCTTGGAAGCTGCAAAGCTCAGAAGGGTCCCGGTAGGCAGAGCGTAAGGGCACTTCTGGAGATCCCGCTCAGACGCTGACGATGGCATGCTCGCCAACGACACATCCTTCACCTGAATCCCAACACCGGATGGCGGCAGCTTGTATGAATAAAGAGTTCACCTCGCTGCAGCTGCTTGTCGCTAGCCTCTGCTATCAAGATGCAGTCTGACAAAGTGTCACCATCTGAAGTCTACAGCCACAGCACTGTGTTTCGGGATCGTCGATCGTCAACATCAACACGCTGCACAAGAGAACTGTACGAACTCCGAGGGCTCCAAGGCTCTGGCCCAGGTCTACATCACCACGCAGAACGGCAGTCGGATGGACCGTTGCAGACGTCCTATCAGTATATTGTCGCGGGAAGGACAGAGCTTTCAGAGAGCCCTTGCTTTAGCTGTCCTTCCATCTTCGGCTGGAGCTGCTTCCCCTGCTGGCCTCCATAACTTGGGAAAGGCTGTTCGCTGCAAAGGACGAGATTATTGTGGGGAGGGCTTCCACTGTCAAAATGAGGTCGTGGTGTGAGGGACAGGCATTCAAGCTTACTTGTCCCTCTGTCTGATTGCAGCTTCATAGCCTGTTTCCTGCCCGCGCTTGTGCTGCCTGACTCTTGTTCTCAGGCAGAGCACAACAGCAGATCTGAGATTCTGACCTCATGAGTGGATTCTGTGGCAATGACGTGACCTGCGGGTGAACGGATGTGGACTGGCCAACGGCAGAAAGCAGAAAAATGTAATGATCGACGAGAGGACCCAAAGCAACGCAGGCCAACCAACTGTTGCGAAGGCCCAAACAGAATGCACATCTTGCATTTGAGAAAGAAACGACTTGCCGCTTCCCATTTGCAGGTTCAACTATCACCATGAACCCTGACAAGGTGCTTGACAACACAACTTGCGGTTCAAGCCCGGTGCAGAAAGGGAGCTCACTGCAATGTATGCTGCCTGAAAGCGACAGAAATGAACATTCATGGGCCCACTACTTGTAGTTGTCAGTGACCTCGACCATAATTACAACTTCAGTCAGAACTCTGGTCTTGGTGGTAGTACTGCACGTCGCAACCACCGCAACAGGAGCCCGACAAGGGTGTTGATCCTGAGCATACTGCAAACGTAAAACCCGTAAGTGTGAAAGTACATGATCTCATCCAAGCGGGGACCTCTGGACTTTGAGAGGCCACGCCAGCCAAAATCGCCTCAAATCAGAAGAGAGCCCAGTTCACTTTGAAACTGGAGGAACACAGCCGCTGTTGCATTTGGATGTTGCGCAGTGGGGCATTGTCATATAGGATCATATTGTGCAGCAGTCGGGTCCCGAAACAAACCTGCCAGTGGGAGCGAACTGTACGCAGCACACGTGCCTTGCAAGACGTTACCCAGATTCAAGTCGTGAATGTCATGAACGAGGGTACAGCAAGCGGGTCTGTCTGAACCGGTGCCGGATGCACTTAGCTTAGCTGCAATGTCAGAGCTCTCCGTCAAACCCAAACGTAAATTGAGCTGGAGTCTGCCGCCAACCTTACGGAGAAGTTTCCATGCTTCAGCAAACTGGGTCGAGCCACCCTCCAAGAAGGAGTCCCGCATCCTTTATCTCTTCCTACTGTCGACTCAATCCCAAGCTCGACAACTCGCGTAGCCTAAAGCAGCAATGCTCTCATTCTCACCTTAGACAGCAAACTTAAACCACAAGCCTTGCAGCTTTATCATCCGTACATTCAAAATCTACTACGATCAACCCGGCCTACGCCGACACCCCAAGCCAAAACCTGGTGCTACGCCTCGCTGGCGACGGGAGTTCGGAGGCGCTGGAGCTGTTGGGACCTCGACAGCCGAGAGGTGTATGGGTGACTGTGAAGTGAAGAAGTGTTCATTTGAGGCCCCAGGCTTCGCTGCTTCAGGGCGGAGCATAGCATGAAGCTGGAGTCCAACACACCAAACGCAGCTCTTTTCGTGCACGCTGGGCGCAAGCCGGAAGTTCTCTCCAGCCATCCAATTATTAAAACCTCTCCAGCTTTGTGGCAAAACACTGCAGACGAGCCCTTGCTCACCCAATCATCCAACAAACTTCTTCATGTCAGTGGCACACAAGTAGACGGTCTTGAAATACTTGAAGAACTCTTCTTTGCTGACCTGAAAGGTGATGTGAACGCCATCCGCAATGATGCAGGTAAATACAGTGCAGCTGCACCGAAAGCGCAGCAAGGCTTCATCGATTTGTCGGGACTTTTGGCCAAGGAGCCCAGAACACGCCATCGTTGGCATTCACAGGCTTGCATACCTGTTGGACCTCGCCAAGCCGAAGCTACAGCAGAGGCTTGTGCTTTCAGCATGAGAACAGGATCCGGCCTCAGGATGCTTCTTCCATCCGGGTCCGTCATCGCACCACTCGCCAGAGGTGAACTCGCCCCGACCCCAGGGATTGCGCACCTGGCGACATGTTAGCAATGGGCAGGGCTCTCGAGCGACACTCCCACTGCTAGTATGCCACCTTGATCAGATCATGGGTGGTGCCGGCCACATCGTTCAAGCAGGTGATGACCGTATAGGCATGGCCATCCACAATCCCGTCTGTGGTGTTAGTGTCAGAGCCCGGCTTGGTTCCAGCTGCCATGACGTAGTTCTGATCGTCCCAGGCGCACATGCGCTCAAACCTGATACTAAGCAGATCTTCATGTGTCCTCGACGCCCGAAAACCTTGCTCAGCACCTGTGCTGCCGAGCTACATCTCGTTGTGGCCGCACTTTGTCCGCTTGTCCCCTCCTCCTCCCACCTCTGGCCAATCCATGCGCCAAATGGTCTGGGAACTTTTCTTGATTGAGTTCTCCATGGGCTCCCAAGTCTCTGTGTTGGGATTGAACTTGCCCCAACCTTGGCAGAGAGAAGAAGACCACACACTCAGGCTTGTCACCCGCTGGTTTCGTTGCAAAAGCAGAGCAGCATTCGAACCCGTCTCCATCATCCATGAAGACATACCTGCGCGAACTCAACACAGCCCACATTGTGTGAAGAAAGGCATTGTTCTAACCGCTTCGCGGATCCGCGGTGAGGTGAGCTCTGTCACGGGTCTTGGTGCAATGTGGTTTTGTGATGTGGAGGGACACAGTATCACTTCACTATGAACACCGGCAAGTGCAACGGGTTTGCCAAGTTGCTGGTCGTTGCAGCCAGTTAAAATGCGCCAAGCATGGGGGCATTGCCCTCCGTCCAGTTCGTCCCACCCACCGCAGTGGATAGCAACCGCCTTGGTAGCTAGGTCGTCAGTGCGACAGTTTCAGCCTTGCTGAACAGACTTCTAGACACAGTCCCAAGGAGCAACACGAGAGAGACAGAGAGAGAGAGAGAGAGAGAGAGAGAGAGAGAGAGAGAGAGAGAGAGAGAGAGAGAGAGAGAGAGAGAGAGAGAGAGAGAGAGAGAGCGAGAGAGCGAGAGAGCGAGAGCGAGCGAGAGCGAGAGCGAGAGCGAGCACATGTCACAAACCTGCAAAATCGGGTTCTGAGTTTTGCATGTCCCGGCAAGTCAAGTTTCCGTAATCCCGTGTGCTAAACCTTCTCAACGAAAGATGCAGGTTCGTTCAACAACCTTGAGCAAGACTGCAGCAGCTTGTGAAGCTATGCCCGACCTGGACTTGTGAACGATCCTCATTTTGGGCTAAACACCTTGAAGATGTGGTGACTTTCGAGAGCCCCTGGTGGCCTTCTCGAGGTAACAGGCCCACAGCTCGGCATCGTAGCTTGGATGCGCACCTCTGCAGGCTCAAGCTGATTCCGTGCCAGAAATAGGTCTAAGGCACTGGGGAGGTTGCAATCGACACTTTAGACTGCAGTCTAAGGCTAGAGTCCTTAGAGGCCGGCCAGAAGCTCTCGACGAGACAAGATTTTCTGTATCCAAAACCCCACGCCACGACCCTGGCAAAATGCTCTCCTGTGGTTTTTTAGTTGATGCGATCACAGGGGCACCTAACAGGTCACTCCCGTCCGGCAGCATGCACAGGCGCTCGTCGATCTCGATGTCTACAGGAGACCAGGACTTCCTTCGGAACGTCTACGTAGGGCCTCCCTCGGGCCTATCCGAGCCTATCCTACGACTCCTATATGTGCAAGTCAACCACGAACTAAATTGCTCGGTCTCATGCTTGACTGGGAAGACCTGTCGGGAGCTCTCCAGCGAAACGCGGTTACCGTTGGCTCCGCGGCCCATCTCTAAGTAGCGAACATCATGACTTATAGTTGGCACCGACGGGCCGTCGCGGTTGCCAAAGCAACAAGAAAGATCCAACCCCGGAATGACCCAAGCAAACCCGAACACTTTCCAGTCTCACCTACGGTAAGAATTTGGAATATTTGGAACTGTGTCAGTCAAAGCCAGCTGCGATTAATCGACCTCCTCTCAATCAGAATCTGAAACAACCGGAAGAGCTTTTGCCAGGCTTCAGATCGTAGAGTGTGACGGTGTACTTGGTGGGCCCGTCACGAGGCAGACGCTCGATCTGGTTCGTTTTGCGGAAGATCTTGGCGATTGCACCCTCGAACCTGCGATTGCTGCCCGTCCAGGACAGGAAACAGCGTGCCGAGTAGATGAGCACACGTCATGTCAGCAGAAACTGACGTCCGTTCTAAACACTCGCACCGGCTCAAAAAAGGCATTCGTGCTTGTCACTGCTCTCATAAACGGCGCCGAGCGACTCCGAAAGTGCAGAGATGGCGGAGAGCAGCCAGCAGTCTCCCACGGAGCCCTGCACGATATCATTGGGATGGATCTCACCGATGAGTTTGATGTGAGGCACATCACAGACACCCTGTCCACGCCCGGGGTGGCATGCAGCAGCCAGGCGCTGGCCACGGAAGTGCATTTTGTCAGTGTAGGCATCGCGCTCAAACTCGCCGATCTCTGAATGAGGCTTGAGGGCCATATACTTTGCCTGCACGAAAGTGAAGTTGGGCTCTGTTCCCGGCTTGAACCTGTATCCACTTTCTGTGCGCTTTATGAGGTCATACTTTTGCTGATCCTTGGGCCAATCCTCAGCTTTCTGGAGTCTCACAAGACTCAAGACAACAACTTTGGAAGGCGGCCCCAAGAAGTATTCCGTCCTACACTGCGCCTCTCTTGAACCCAACTTGACCGAACGGGAGAAATGCCTGCTACAGACGTCGGAGCGCACTTCATGTTCTTGCACGAAACTAACACGGCACACGGACACAATTTCTGAACCGGATGCGCTAAATTTGACTTATACAAGAGACTCGAGGCGAGATGCGATGTTCTGAAATCGAGAACGCAGAATAGCTCGCCATGGTGAACAAGAATCCAACGTGACAGGTAAGTTCGATCACCGCGCCTGTGTACGCGGCTCGATTCCGCTACAGTAGCAACCAGCACACATACCATGTCAATGTCGCCTCAAACCTCGAGGCACCACCAGATGGTGCACTAGGCAGCTTGCAGAAGGAGCTTGCCGGCTCCGAAAGAGGAAGCAGCTACGGAATGACAGCTCGAATCGGAGGTTTGAGATAAAAGATGACAGAAAAAGATCAACACCTTTCCTGATGCTGAGCACCGCAGCAGCTCAGCATGATGTAGAGCCGGCGGGTATGTAACTAGCTTGTTCACAGCTGTTTGCTTGTCGTGGTGGCAATGCTCAACACTTACAGGCGCTGCTTGTTGACTTGAGTGCTCCAGGCTGCCGAGACTCCACCATGTTGGTCTGGTACATCCTTGGTTGCGCTCGCCCTTGACACCTACCGCACCCGTGACTTGAAGTATTGAAACGTTACGTGCTTGCTACCAGAAGAAGGACACCCGGAAAGGGCAGACATTCCCTGAAGAGCAACCGAGCATCAGTCCCTCAAATTCTGAGGGCCTTTCTCTCAGCTTCGTCCGGCCTTCCTCGATGGGGCCTTGAACCTTGTCGATAACCGGCGCGAACTTGTAGAAGAAGGAACCTTCCATTCTGATGTGGAGAAGATGGCGCCGGCTGCAAGATGTGAGGGGAGCTTCGACGCGAGAACTTGATCGCCCTCGGACCCTTTCCCTTCAAACCAGATACCGAAAACCCAAACTCGTGATTTTGCTCGGCTTTGATAGCGTGGTACGTGCCGGAGGGCCTGGGCCCTTGACCTCCTCAAACTGCCAGTTCGTGCTCCTGTGCAGCGAATGCTGTGCAAAAACATGCAAATCCCCTGCTACGGCAGGGTCTGCGTGCGATTTTGGTTCTGTATGTACAGTGCAATCACTGTACAAGAAATGGTTGGATAAGAAACGTAGGGGCTACGTCAACCGGATAGCACCAAAAAGCCCAAAATTCAAAACGCCTTCTAACTAAGAAATGAAGGGTACCCAACGTTTTAGGGTCATTTCTTATTTGGCTGGGCGGTTAATTTCTTGATTCGGGTGTTCTCAAGCCTCGAAAACCCGTTTGGGGGTTTTCCAAGAGCCAACAAGAAACGTAGGGGGCTACATTTCTTATTTTGGGTGGTTTCCAAGGCTTAAGCTTAGGGCACACGACAGGAGCCAAAATAAGAAACGTAGGGGGCTACATTTCTTGTTTTGGGTGGTTTCCAAGGCTTAAGCTTAGGGCACACGACAGGAGCCAAAATAAGAAACGTAGGGGGCTACATTTCTTATTTTGGGTGGTTTCCAAGGCTTACACACGACAGGAGCCAAAATAAGAAACGTAGGGGGCTACATTTTTCATTTTGGGTGGTTTCCAAGGCTTGAGCTTAGGGCACACGACAGGAGCCAAAATAAGAAACGTAGGGGGCTACATTTCTTATTTTGGGTGGTTTCCAAGGCTTACGCTTTGGGCACACGACAGGAGCCAAAATAAGAAACGTAGGGGGCTACATTTCTTATTTTGGGTGGTTTCCAAGGCTTATAAGCTTAGGGCACACGACAGGAGCCAAAATAAGAAACATAGGGGGGCTACATCTTATTTTGGGTGGTTTCCAAGGCTTAAGCTTAGGGCACACGACAGGAGCCAAAATAAGAAACGTAGGGGGCTACATTTCTTATTTTGGGTGGTTTCCAAGGCTGAAGCTTAGGGCACACGACAGGAGCCAAAATACGAAACGTAGGGGGCTACATTTCTTATTTTGGGTGGTTTCCAAAGCTTAAGCTTAGGGCACACGACAGGAACCAAAATAAGAAACGTAGGGGGCTACATTTTTTGTTTTGGGTGGTTTCCAAGGCTTAAGCTTAGGGCACACGACAGGAGCCAAAATAAGAAACGTAGGGGGCTACATTTCTTATTTGGGTGGTGTCCAAGGCTTAAGCTTAGGGCACACGACAGGAGCCAAAATAAGAAACGTAGGGGGCTACATTTCTTATTTTGGGTGGTTTCCAAGGCTTATAAGCTTAGGGCACACGACAGGAGCCAAAATAAGAAACGTAGGGGGCTACGTTTCTTATTTTGGGTGGTTTCCAAGGCTTAAGCTTAGGGCACACGACAGGAGCCAAAATAAGAAACGTAGGGGGCTACATTTCTTATTTTGGGTGGTTTCCAAGGCTTAAGCTTAGGGCACACGACAGGAGCCAAAATAAGAAACGTAGGGGGCTACATTTCTTATTTTGGGTGGTTTCCAAGGCTTAAGTTTAGGGCACAGCGCAGGAGCCAAAATACGAAACGTAGGGGGCTACATGGGTTATTTTGGGTAATGCTGCCTTAGTGGTGTCTGTCTAGGCTAATGGCAAAGGCATTGGCTTAGTAGAGTGCAGCTGAACTACCATGGGCTCGAGCCCCGACTAAGAAATGAACAAGAAACGAAGGGTACCCAACGATGCAGAAGTTGGGAAATGTGGAAATATGAATGTAACAGGAAGCTAAGAAATGAAGGGTAGGCAAGGCTGGAAGCTGGCATTTCTTATCCAGTAGATGCACTGTATGTATACACACATGATATGTATATATGAAGTTTATGCACATATGAATACTGATGTGCATGATGATAATGTGCTCTGATTTACTCCTATATTCGACTATATTTATACAGAGAGAAAAAGAGCACTGCCTTTTTCAGTCTCTTTGTATGTGTATATATATATATACACAGCTCTTCATCATAATTTCCCCGACCCTCTGTCCCTCTCTCAATCTCTCTTTCTCTCTTTCTCTCTCTCTCTCTCTCTCTCTCTCGCTCTTTGCTTTGCTTTGCTAGGGGCTTGGAGCGGGAGCAGTCCTCCCGCCCCGCGCGGGCGCGCTGCCGCATCCATCATTTGGAGTGGATGGGCTCGGGCTTTACAAAGGAATTTGTGCTCCTGGTTTTCAGGAGTTCGTGGCCGGGTCTCCACTTCCATCTCTCTTTGCTTTGCTTTGCTAGGGGCTTGGAGCGGGATCTCTCTTCGCTTCGCTTCGCTTCACAGGGGTCAGGCTTCGGCTGAAGCCCGCGCCTAGGCGCCCCCTTTCCCCCATTGTTGGGTGGGAAAGAGGCTTTGGGGCCGTTTTGCACGGGAATTTTTTCCCGACGGTCGGTTCGAATGGAAGCGTCTGCCTGTCGGTTACCCCCCAACCCTGTACACTATCGCGCTTCCCGGCCCCATCGCCGCGCTCTCTACAGCACTTTCCTTAGACCTACGACAGGCAGATAACCCCCAGCGGGATCTCTCTCTCTCTGTCTCTTTGCTTTGCTCGGGGTTTGAGGCTCGCTCTCTCTCTCTCTCTCTCTCTCTCTCTCTCTCTCTCTCTCTCTCTCTCTCTCTCTTTTTCTATTCACACAAAGCATGCGCACACACACACACAAGCAGCTAGGATTGGGCGTTTTTTGCGAAGCCGATGTTGACGTGACCAAGGCCTCGGGCCTAACCGCCAGCGATCTTGTGCGATAATTTCACCGACACGGAACAAGTATCAGCCCTCCCTTCGCACCGGCAACGAGTTTCCGGAGCCTGATCTGGCTGATGTTTTCCTCTGTTGGCAAAGAAAGAATCCAGGTCCGTCTCGTCAAAACACATCCCGATCATTTCGCCGTCCACGCTCTTCAAGACATTCGTCGACCACCCCCAGGTGCCAAAGACGATGAACTTCTGAAACTGTTCCAAGATGTGCCCAGCTATTACAATCATCCTTTTGTTCAAAGGGTCCGAGCTGCTGAGCAAAAAAACACTGTCCGGCCCATCGCTCCCTACTGGAACCGGACATCGAAGATGACTCTTTCAGTAGGTTCTACGTGACGGACACGATGTCACAGACATCACCTTGCATCGCCCTGCTTCAAAACATGCAAGTCTACAAGCTCACCGCTCACCCACTCTTCGCCTCTTCTCTCTTGTTGTGCTTTTCGGCCACTCGCGTCTGCTCGAAGGAACAAGGAACCATTGCGCCCCGTACGGCGACTGCATTGCCCCATTCTCGCATATATGACGACATGTAGGATGACAGTGGAAGGCGGAGGGGCGGCCTCGACCATTCTTATTCTAGCTGCTTCATAATAACCATGACTATCGGTAAGCCCCCAATCCCAAAAATCCAAACCCTCATGTAGACCTGAAGCCCTGAACTTTAGAGCCGTAGCCTAACACCCTACAACCCTCACTGCCGTCAGCCCTGCGGCCTACATTCTGTTTCCTCTCTATCTTGAAGTTCATGCACGCCAATGCACGCACAAAGCCCACAGGAATCGGAGCAGCACTCACAATCCGCTAACGTCTCCTTGCTTTGCTCCAGTCGATTGTGTAGGGCTCGCTCAGCTCGGAACCCGCACTTCGCAAGGCCTTCTCCTTCCAGGGCCGTGGCTGAGGATGCTGACCAGCCGTATCGACTAGCATCGTCTGGGTGGCAAAGCTATCAAAAATCACTGACCTGATCCGTCTTAAGACCCTGATGTTCGGGAGCCTTGGATTCCTGGTCCCGAGGTTCAACGAGCCCTCTGAATTGGACACGGACGGGAGGTCCCACGAGGTCAACTAATTCTCACAGGGTGCGAAACAGAAATCCTGAAAACACAGCCAAACTACCAGTATACTAGAGGACCGCAAGTGCTGTTTTCAGGCCGTCTGAAACCTTCCATATTTGACCCCTTCCGTATCCCTTCCTCGCGCTTGCGGCGCATAGCCCGAATGTTGGCAAAGCTGAACTCGAAGCCTGAGACGCACGTTTGAGACTTCGAGTCTGGCAGACGCCGCGGGTGTTGTAGAGTGATTTTCGTGTAACAGGAATTACTTTCTGTCAACAAGCGCTTCCCCAACGGGCGACATTCCCCGGTACAGGGGACACACCGATCACTCTGGCATCACGAGCTTTCATGCAAGCTGTGCCTTTGCCATCTGTGCCGGTCGTGTAGCAAATGTTTCCCATGGCTCCGATCGGATGCTGCTCTGTAAAGCAGCCTTGGACACTCCGTAGTCGGTGATCTGCACCGTGGCTCTTGTCTGCGGTCTCCAATCATGTCAGTTGGTACCTAGTCTCATGCTGTAGAGCCATGGCGCAAGAAGAGCTCTCAAGAGGCTATAAGTAGTTGCCCATGTGAAGCAGACTACGGCAGCTGCCAGCTGGTGTCCACTGAGGCAAGGGCAGCTCTGCAACGGTCGGTGCATCGAAGAGGAGCTCTGGAGGGATCGGAATGCCTGCCGGCCGTCAAGCCACGGAGTGCCAACTGGAAGCCTTGGAAACTTAGAAGTTACACACGGAAAGCCAAAGCCAGGAGAACGCCTGGGAGCAAATGCAGCAAGCTCTGCCGCAGGAGCATCCACTCCTCCACAGTGCGGAGCAATTCCAAGGGCCTCAACGCCTGAAAACTCGGCCATTCCGATACCATCCCGACCACTTGATGGAATGCACTCCGTTGAAAGGCCCGAATTCAAGTCCTGTGGTTCAATTCCGCCACCCCCGCCTCCGACAATTCATTGGTCGAAACGTCTAACTGCACTATGTTGCAAACTTGCGGAGAATCGTGAAGGCCGGCATCTGTGCGGGGGGGCGGGCTGCACCACTATGCCACTATGCTCAGCCTATGCTCACTATGCGCAGAGCCTTGGCCTCTCAGACAGCTCCTACGCCTCGCAATTAGCCAAAGCCAAAAATTCCATCCTACATCATCCTACAGCAATCTCGGCCCCAACAAACCCTGTGTCCAAAACCCTTGAGCAACCCGAGACTTTGTCCATGCGCTCCAGGGAGGCAACGCCCAATTCGGCAAGGTGGGAGGTCAACAGCCTCACATTGTCATTGTCATGGAGATGGAGGAAATCACATCATTCGGAATATATTCACGCAATGACCCGCTTCAAATTCGCTGTCGAATGAACTGGCGTGTAGGAGCTCAAGATGACGGTCGCCAACTAACTCCGACTCCAGAGAATGAACCTGAGAAACGACCTATGCATATGCTGTCAGTCCAGCAGAGGCCTTCAGCGACATGTTCTACATCATTCTACATCCTATATTTATATTGATAGGCGGCCCAAAGCCTATGTACTTCTGATAAACATGGGTCAGACGATCAAAGAGCATTTTTGCTGCACGATTGACAGGGGCCATCGTCGGAACAGAATCTCACACCCAAAGTTAACGGATGCTTGATAAGGCTGCTTGTACAGGCGCCGTTTGGAGGCCTTGCTACACATACTGCTGAACTATGCTTTCTGGATTGTCCTGGAGGTGCCCAGCTCAAGCTGCGAAGATTTCAGGGTTCTGGCTGGCACACTCAACTAGAGACTTTGACTGCTGGTGCTGGACTTGAATCCTGAGGTTCTCGGGCGGAGGTCACATGCCTTCCTTGGGGGTGCTAAGATCAACCCGGCAAAAAACTGTGCACAAGCCCACGCAGTGCCGCAGGATAGGTGCCTAGTTAAATCTTTAGCTCATGCACAGTTATGGCTGAGCACAGACACTCAAACCAACCTGGTCGAACTGTATTTTCGGACGCAGCATCCATCACACCGAAAGCCAGAGACAACGGTTACTGCAAGGGCGTGCCCACACTAGAAAGATTGTCACCATAAGCGAACAAGGGATAGTAACTGTGGTTGCGCGGCCAGGTCATCAGGCAAAGAAGCGGATGCGCAAATGCCAGTGTCAGAGCTAATGATGAATACTTTGCCAATCCTTTGACAAGCAGCTGCACCGGTTCAGCCACGAACCAATGCAACACGGCTGCCACAACGAAGACGATGAAAAGCTGGTGCATCGCGAAGGGTTGCCCCTCTGCATCGTTTCTTACGCGTGCCCATGCAGAAACAAATTCCGGTGCATACTTATCAAAGAACATCAGAACCCAGAGATGAGAGGCCATCACGCAGAAATTCAAATTCGCCAAGTAGCGAACCGAGACAGCTGCTGGCTTGGGTAGCTTGATGTCGAGGAATGTAAACACCAGCAGAAAAACTTGAAAAGGCAATCCTGCAACCATGTAAGGCAAGTGTCGCCTGCAGTGATGTTCTCCGAAACCGAAATCTTTCCAGCTGGGATGGCCCTCGATGGCCGTGTCCAGTGCTAGGGCAAATCCGATGGCAGCAATGACGAAGGGCGTGCACCGGCCTGGGAGGGAGCCCGAAGGCCCACAGCACCGCAGAATGCCACGGCAGGTACAGTGGACTACCAAGGCAGAAGGGAGCCGACAGTACCAGAACGAGCGATAATAGTCGCGGTGGCCGCAGACCTGTGGCAAATGGTCTGGATGCATGCACATCCACGCTAAATAGGCGAGTGTGCCGGCAGGAACTAGGTGTGGTACTGCAGTTTCGATTGCAGTCACGGCTGCGAGAAACCAGAAGATCGAATACTCCAAGCAAACAAACCACGTCGAAGTCGGCCACGTCTGGTTTGGAAAATCATCATTCGGGTACACCGGCCACAGCATTTCAATGCCTCGACTGTCTGGGTTGCCGAAGTCTCGCATCGTTACAGCTGCCAAGATCCATTGCAACCAACCTGTGTAAGCAATACGTGGTTGCTCATCGAAGAGATGTTTCTGTCCGCAGTACAGGAGTGATGCGGGACGAACGAAGAAGCTTGCCAAATGGGTGAACGCTATTTGCACGCTAGCTTGGACTGCCACTTTCCTCAAAACCTTCATTGAAAACGACTGCACAGACAAGCTTTGAACAGATACCAAGCGCACCGTCAAGACAATGAATATGTCTTGCAGCCTTTCGGTATCGGCACCGGTCATGTGGCAGAGGGGCCATCTGAATGGAAAGGGTTGTCCTCTGTGCTGGTCCACCACCACCCATGTTGCCAGCAGCCTTAGGATGTCAATCGCCACCTTCGGGCTCGTGCTCGCCTTGTCAGATGCCGATGCACAGGTGGTTCTCCGCCGGCAGCAGAGATACATCCACGGGACAAGAGACAGGCCGCAAACAATGCTGCACACGGCCTTGCGAAGGGTCTCGTCTAGATTACACAAGTACGGCCAGAACTAAGTGACCTGCTCCAAAAATGACAAAATTGTCACGATGCCAGATTGTATTGTATTGCCTTCCGAGCGGCTAGAACTCCAGGTGTCCGAGGTGGCGAGATGCATGGATCCTCCGCACGGATCCTCTGCAAGCTGACACCTGGCCCAAGCCCAGCAACCGATGGCTCTTACGAGTAGATTCACGACAACATCAGTTCCCAAAACTTCAGGTCTCTTTTTCTGAACGCGACTGCCAGACATAGAACCCGACTGGAACCCCCTACAGCCTTTTGCCCCTGCTGTCGCCTGCAAGTATCGCCGGTCCGAAAATGCGTGAATCTGCCAGCACTGGGATGACCGTCACCGCCGCTTCCCCGAGGTTACAACCGGAAGGCAGTGTCAGCACCTTAGGTGCAGCCGCACAGCCATCTGAGGAGTCTAGACTCTAGATCACGGGGTTAGGTCTGTGATAGGTTCATGTTTGTGCCATCTTGGATTGTAGTTTCTCGGTTGTTCTGAACAAGAATGTAAACCCACCCATCTTCATTTCAAGCAAGATGCGTAGGCTCCCTCGAAGAAATGTCGTTCGACAGAATACCAGTCAAGCTTGACCATGTGCAACTGGCACTGTGTGTCGCTCCAGCACGCAACAGCTTCCTTCATCCGGGTGGGAAATTTTATCAGCATGGTGACTTCTTTCGGAGGCGGGGGAAAGATCTCATTGCCGCTCCACATAGGTATGAGCTGGTATCTGACGTTCGTGGAACCGTACAAGACGCTATTCAAGCAGGGACTTTGAACATCAGCATGACTGACACCACCAAGGGTAGCTGGAGGCACGGCAATGCCACGCTGTCTAAACCGCTGCTTTACCGGCTCGGTCATGTACAAAGTGCCAAAGATCTGAAAGTGGTCGGAGGTTGGGGAGCCCTTGACCTTGTTGACATGTATCCACTCTTCCAAGTCCGGCAGCTTCAAGCAGCACTTCAAGTAGGTGTATTTCCCACGCGGTTCAAAGCAACCTCCATCGCCAAGGAACACTTTCAAGTCACCGGTAGACGCACAACATCGCGTGAAGGAGAATTCATCGTGAAAGCATGGGGTGCCATCAGCCGGCTTCGGCTTGGACTGAACTTGTGCCTGCGCCCCCTGACAGCAGCGTTCAAAAGTGAACTCGCTTGTGAAGCAGCTGCGATTTCCGAACCTGCAGCAATGATCCCTAATGTCGTCAGGCACGCCAAGCCAACAGTGTGCGTCACTATACCCGCTGCGAGTGATCTGCCAAAGCTGCCAACAGAGCACAGCAGGAAGCCAAATGCTCTGTGTCATGTTGGGCGGCCAGTGGGTTGCGCCTACCCGGTACCCCAGACAGGTGCCACCATCCGATGAAGTCGCTGTTGCACGCCGCTCTGGAAGCTAGAAGCCGTTGATTGGCTTGCTGGCAGTCTTCGAGTCTCTCGTCCTATGAATTCTTCATTGCGCAAGCTTTGGGCCAAAGGTCATGAATTGTTCACAACCCTGCCGGGATGCGCTTTCCCAAGTGAAGTACTTCCTCCTGTCTTGCTGGCCAGGTGCTCCTCATCGTCAGCTGTCTGCGTCCTCACGGGTGATCTCTTGAACTCTTGGTGGCAATTAAGGTTTACGCGACGAGTACTTGCGATCTGTGTGTCGGATGGTGTTGATTTTCTGAACCTGTGGCCACGCAGCGAACGACTGTCTAATTGTTTTGGAGGGCCTTGTCCGGGGGATGGAGTCTATCGCTAAAGACGAGGGATGATAAAGGCACACCACCCAAAGCAAGAGTGTGGCAAACCCTCTCAAGAAAGCACCCTCGCGCAAGGATTGCGTAGGATTCGGTGTATACGTTCGATCCTTGTTTGGCGTGCAAGCTCTTCCGAGATCTTTCGGTGCGTGGTAACCGTCACCGTTCATTGAGAGTCCGCACATGTCTTCTGAAGCTGGCAACCTCTGCCCTTCAGAAAGCAATGCTGCAAAAACGATCCTGGATTCAAGGCGGCTCGCTGCCGCCTGTAGATGGGTGCGAGAAGCTGGGCGCACCCGTGCCTCGAAAAGTGCGAGAGAAAGCGCTGGGAAGGCCTGCAACCCGTGTGGGGACTTGCAGTTTTTGACAGGCTTCAATGCCAACATGCCCAGTGCTGTCGAAGCTAAGAACGAAGCAATCGCCTGAAGAATTTCTGATTGCAGCCGTCGCTGATCCTGCAGGAAACTCAATCAAGAGCAGTGGCCGTGCACCCAAACATGGGTCGGTAGTGTTGAGACCGAAGGCTGACGAAAACCTGAACGGAAAGCAGCGCGGTGCGGTCCATAAAGGTCGCTTCCGGAGGGTCGAGCTCAGCCCTGCAGCACCACGGGAGAAAGCAAAGGAGACCAACGGAGTAGCTGATTGAAAGCAGCGCGAGTCCGGTGGTAGTAAACGGCAGTTAGACGCATTATAGAGCCTTGGACCCGTAAATTCTCTCAGTCAGTTGATCGTGGATTTCGTGTACTAAGATCAACTCATGACGCAGAGCCTTCAGCCCGCGATGCCAATTGCGAAGCTGGATATGGTCGTCGCAACCGAACCCTTGAAGCGTGAAGGCATCATGTGAAACATCTTGAACCTCTTGCAAGCATCAAGCAAACCTCATCAATGAGCCATGGCTTACCGGGTTTAGACATGTGGCCTCTGTTCCCGACCATCTGCATGGTCTGCCTGAATATGGCAGGGTTCGGGTGAACAGATTGGGCTGCCCTGTATGGACTTGGCCCACAGACTGGAACTCACCCAAACATGTTTCTTCATGTTTCTTCAAAAACTCCTCTGTTTCCATCATCCTAGAACAATCCCAAAATCACGCTTAAAAATACACTCAAACCATCCTCCCCCAACCTTCGCAAACTCATCTTGTCGACATCTTCCTGGAAGCTTCATAAGGTGTCCTCAAAGACATCTCAAAACCCATCTCTCGGAAGATCCCAAACTTTCATTGACGACATCTTCCTTGAGTCTTCCGAAAGCTTCCTGAGATATCCTCAAACCATCATCCCCCCGAAGCCCCCGCCCTAATCACCACTTCAACATCATCCTCGAGTCTTCCGGCAATCTTGACCAAAGCTAGCTTCTGTGCATTGGCATCCGACGCGGTCGGTCACGGCTCGGAGCGTGTGGTGCACTCGTGCAGCCAGTTGCCGGCGGCTCATGACCCATGCTTGCCACCCAGATGTTTGGGCGCAGGGGGAGTTTGTCATGAAGGCTTTTTGCGAGGCGCCGATGTGGGGAAGCCAGTCTCGAGGTGGTGCGGTAGGAAGTCAACCGCCAGGAGGGGTTTCGGAAGAAGCTGGCGCGGGAGCATAACTCGGAGGATGCTTCTGAGGCTGATTTTCGGAGCATGAGTCGGTCGCAGGATAACTTCCCAAAGCATGATTTTCGGATGGAGGATGACCCAGAAAAGAATTCTGCTGAAGATTTTGGGAGGGAAGACAAACCGAAGGATGATTTCTGACGACAATTCAGAAGTAACTGTTTTGCAATTCAGAAGTAAACGCTTTGACAACATCCAGTTTGTGACTTCTCGAAGTCTCATCAGACTGGAGTCTCGGTCTCGACAACATAAGCGCAGCTCCCAGCCCCGCAATGCCCAATCATGGAAACTGTAATCAGGTTGGCTCCGCACTTTCGACAAGAACAGTCTGAAAGAAACGCTCTCAACGCCAGATGCAGTCTACCTCCCCCTGGGCTAGCGCCACGAATCGGCGCAGCGCTGCTGCAGCGGGACCATGCAGCTCAGGAAGCCGGTGGCTGCCATCCTTTGGGGATAGTAGCGCATCAATGTGCTGCACGAGGGACAAAGCCATGTAGAAAAGAACTCACCCGATCTATGCAGATCAATCGTAAGTAGAAAGAATCTCGCCGTGGCAGCCGCTGTAAACGTAGTGGCAGTAGTAGTACAATAATATCAGTAGTCGTCGTAGAAGTCGTAGTAGTCACAGTCACAGTCGCAGGAGCAGCAGCAGGAGCAACAGCAGCCGCCGGGAGCAGGGTAGCAATTGTATCTCTTTATATACCTTACAACCTTATACTTATCATTCATTCATTCACTCCTTGTTTGATTTGTTGACTGACTGACTGGCTGAGGCATCGATGAGTTGATTCATTGATTCATCGATTAATGTTGATTTGTTGCCTAGTTGGTTCACTGCTAGATAGACAGACAGACGACAGACAAATAGACAGACAGACAGATAGACAGGCAGACCAGCAGACTCATTCTTTCACTTACCCAATGATTGGTTGGGCCAACAAACTGATCAGCCATCTTGTGATTGGACAGGTACCGAAGACACGTGGATGACGGCAACATCTTCGCGACAAGTGCAGTTTGTTCTGCTGGAGCCGAAGTAATACTAGATCTTCCAGAAATATGAGTCACCCTCGAGCCCGACAGTGCCAAGACTGAGACCTTGGATCCCAAACATCCGGCCCAATCGCAACCCCAACCGAATGCTGCCATGTATCGATGTCCATCCTTTCCTTGAACGCGCCATCCCAGCAAGGAAGGCCCGGAAAGGCCTGTGCCGGACTTTCCTGCAGGCTCCAAGTCTATGTGTTCTTTTGGGTTTGCACAAAATTCATCGGTCAGGGCCGTTCAGCGTCTGACTACCACGTGATCGGTAATGCAAGCCTCGTGCCTTCCAACAGACTAAAGAAGGGCAAACCCAGTCCTCCTCAATCCCAACGAAGTGAAAGGATGGAACGCCTTGCGTAGGTTCTCTTTGTCGCGTTTAGCGGATCCAGTTTTCCATAATTTAATTGGGCTTGGTTGGACGTGCTTGGACGGTAGCTTTGGCTGCCTGGCCAAAGGCTGCCTCGGGATCCCGGCCCTGTTGCTGCTTGGAAGGCAATAGTGAACGGCCCTCCAAGACCGCTCAGCATCACACGAGATGGGAAACCCAGGTCTAGGTCTGTTCGATCATCGAGTAAGAAGTTGACAAAGACACAGGCCAGGAGCCTCAAATGTCACGACCTGAACAAGGTATCGTGCCTGCAGTTTGCCGATACAGGTCGCTGCAAAGCTGCGCAGGGGCGGCATAGCCGCCTGTTGAAGCGAGATGTAACACCGAAAGCAGTACTATGTATGTCAGTTGGGGTCTTCGGAATGGCTTCGTGTTGGGGCAGTGCTGGAGGTCTTGAAGGGTCTGGTCGAGCCTTGGTTTTGTCAGGTTTGACGCATTGATTGAAAAGTTACAGGACTCGCCGGCTGTGCATGCAAACCAGACATGTTTCTGTGTCTTGGGTCACAAGACTCATGGCAAGTGTCCGAGTAGGACCCTTGGCGAGGTACTTTGCCGCACTATGGATTCGCTTTGGTGAGCTGCGGGATATCGGGAATTTCCGCTCTCCATCACTTCCTTCTCTCCACCGTGTACACATCTGAAGACCGGCGACAAAGACCCAGCCTATGGAAATCAGGAGACGCGGAGGCGGCTGCATGGCACCGGAGAGCAGTGCCAGGGCAGCTGCAGAGGCGCCCTGCTGCGAACTTTGCTTCGAGGGCTGTTGCCCTTCACCTCTGAGAGACCATCCCGCCTCGCACAGCCCGGCGACGCCATCGAAAGGCCCCCACTGGCGCCAAACATGCGAAATCAGAGACCTGGTCTGATTCATCTGTGAAACGTGTTGTCTTTCGCATCACAAGCTGGCAAGCCCAAGACATGGGAGCCTCCGATTCGACAAGCCTCGCGCATTAAATCTAATCTACAGATTGCACTTCATCACGGCAAAAACTCTGCAGCGTGCCACTCTGACGACTCAACCTCATGTGGCCTGAGTAATACTGCGAGGCCCGGACAGGCTCTCCGCCCATTGCCCGGTATCGCCTGCTTCGTTGGGCAGGCGCCACTGCCTGTAGACGCCCTCGGGGTCATACCAGCCTGAGAAGCTGAGGATGCCGTGCATTACAGTCTTTGCGCGGAATGGGCCCAGCCAAGCCTGCGCGAACGGCACTCTCAAAGAGTTTGGGGTCCGCCACGTCCGCATGCGGTGCATCGACCAGGCCGATCTCAAACAGGGGCACCCTCGGCATAATGAAACGTTGAGAGAGGGCGGCGGGAGAGCACGCAAACAATCACACACAAGTCAAGATCATGTGAGCTTTCCAGCAAGGCCGAGTGCCTGACTTGGCGCCCTCGCGGCGCTTCAGGGTAGACCAAGCAGTCGCCTGGTGAAGGTTGCTGCACAAGTCGACACGAGGCTTTCGAGCTGTTCTGCCGATGACGTCCAGAAGCACAACAAGCAGTTGGGCTATGCTGCATTATAGTCTCTGGTGCGGAGGCATCTCATGCTTGGTGTGTAACGTTGATAGGCGTCTACCTTGGATTGAATGTATGCTTGAGCTGCTAGGGTCCTCTTCGATTCAAGGCACTTACCCTCTGACATGGTCCCTAGATACCCAAATCACATCGGTACCCACTACAGTAGAGGTCATGGCAGCCCATGGGAGCCTCAAGCCTGAACATCCACATTCCTCTGCCAAATCCAGGGCCTCCAGAAAGCTTCGCGTCGTCGCCGCATCGCAGCGTGCACCGTGCAGGAAGAGGAGGCGGCACGGACCTCGCTCCGCTCGGGACCCAAAGCTTCAGGTCAGCTGCGAACTTTCCAATATCAGTCCCCAGAACGCCTTGAAGAGCTTCACCGGCCATAACGCTCCGTTCCCAGAAACTCCAAATCCTCCAGATCTTCTTTGTGCTTCCCTTTCAAACTTTAGGCCCACAGCCACATACGATCACATACGGCCACGGCCGAGGGCCGAGGACCGAGGACGAGGCGGCCGTCCGACCAGCTCGTCGGCACCAGCACGCGTGCGGGATCCGCGCGGGGAACGATCGCCTGCCATGCCAAGACATCAAACAATGGAGTGTTTGGCCACAAACATTGCAGGTCAAATGTGGTATTTTCTCCCTGAAACGACACAGACCTGCTCGGCGATCGCTCCATCCTCTGTTTCAGTCCATATCCGTATCATCGAAACAAGTCGAATACAAACTCGAAGCGGGCTGGTCGCTACGATGCTGGTACCCGTAACTCGCCTGTCATCTCCATGCCTTGAGAGGGTGTGTGGAGCTTAGACGACGGGCTTAGACAAACCACCAGCTGCTAGCCTGGATGACCAGCCAAAGATTGATCCCGTGTAACTCTCTCTCGTCTTCTGTTTCTCTCGCCACAGTTCCCAGCTCCAAACACAAGCCCTTGCGGCACGCCTCAGGAAGTGCCCTCTGCTTTGGCTGGTACTGCCCGCTGCTGTCTGCAGGACTCTCCTTGCAGCAGACCGTGCTGTACCGTGGCTGGCAGCTGAAGATTCCTGGATGACGTCTGAAAAAGCTCGATGCCAGTGCTCTGCTGTACTTTACTCGCTACCTGGCCTTTCCCGAACTACTCCAGTTGCTTGCTTGCTTGCTTGCTTGCTGGCTTAGTCACTCAGCCTGTCGGTCACTCAGTCACTAGCTTACAATAAGTCTATCATGTGCTATCGAAGAAGCTTCGGATTACTGTTATCTTGCAAGAAGAAACGGAAAGAAGTAGTTGGTTCTGGGCGGTTGCATCCCGCAAGCACTTTCCAAGAGAGCGTCGGATTTCGGCTCGCCGGTGGTCGCTTGAGTCGACAGCTGCGTCGTGGCCGCTGCAGCCGTCGCATTGACATCCTGGGCCATTCCGCTTTGCCGTAGAAGAGACCGGTTGAATTGCTGTGCTGAGGCCTCCGGTTCGCGCTCCGCATCAAGCTGCCCCATAAGTAGGGTCGCCATGCTGCGGGCAGTTGGATAGTCCTCAGATCAAGATTGAGACGCTCGTATCCTTCAAAGGCATGCAGTCACAGCAGCAACCGGCTCACTTTCCTGTGCTCCGACGGCATGAATCAAGCAGTGGGTGGTGTGAACTGCGTCACACTTGCCCCTTCCCTCACGCTGGATGCCGCTTCGGCAATCACGGTGCCCTTGCAGATCCCAACCTTTACGTTGCAACCCTCACAAACCCAATCGTTGACACTGCGGCTCACAAGTCACTCACAAGTGCCAAGCTTCGAACAGCAGGGAGGCTGATAACAGCCGCGAAGCCGGATCCCCCAGCCTTTTCGCCAAAGCCTGCCGCAAGTCGATCTGTGCCAGGGAATCCTTGGCTGTAGCGATGCGGAGTCGAGGAATCCTCCTCACCCGAGAGCAGAGAAACACGCTTAAGCGTTGCAGAGCTACAAACCTTCCTGCCGAGATGCTAGGTCGGGCCATTGGGACATTACCTTCAGAATTACTTCTAGTTGCTTCCCAAGCTCCAAGCCCAGATCCAGCAGCGGCGTGTCCTGAGACAACAAAACACATTTCAGGAGCATCGATTCCAAACACACACTCCTGCCCAGTCTTAGTATCAAACTTACTGTGCTCTTCCTTCCTAGCCATCCTTGGCCTCCCGCCTTCAACATGCTTTCCGCCCAGGCTCAGCAGAAAGCTCCGTGGCCGTGCCCAAGGCGGCTGCAGTGGCACTCAAGATGGCAGTCTCCAGCGCCTTCAAACATCTCTGACTTTAGCTGACGCGTAAACATGGTATCCGTTGTCTTCTGTTCCATGCCACTACCACCCCATGGTATCGTGGGGAAGCCAACCATGAAATGAGGAAAACTGGAAAAGCGCATTGGGTTTCCGTCAGCACAAAGAATGAGCTTCTTCGTTGCATGTTCAAATCTACTGCAGAAAGGGCGGAATCGGGTTGATTCGGGCCCAACGTCAAAAACACACAAGGCTTGATCAAGCCAAGACCGTCAGATAGCGTTGAAGACCACGACAACTAACGGCAAAGACAAATCAATCAGAAGACATCACATGAAGTGACCAAGACTTGCAGCAGAGATCCAAGATCCAAGTATTTGTAAGACCGTGGGACGGGGTGTCGGCATTAGTCCGACCAGGACATGCGACATCTGAGGTCCGATCAGGGACGAGACATAATAGGCAAACCTACCGCAAGTGATGCAAGCAACGAAGATCACAGGGAACACACTTGTGGAATCCTCCTTCTTACTACTTCCGTCATTTGCTGCTCAGCAACGGTCTGGATCTTGTCAAACTTTTTGCAAAGGGTTTTAAGGGCTCCTGGGTCATCGGGTTTCAGGTTCAAGCTTACCAAGAGGTAAGCCGACCTCAACAAGTATGTCCCAACTTTGGAGCCGGCCATGTTGCGTTGAGATCTCACAGAGAGCTTCGTGTGGCAGAGCTCTGTAAGTCTGCGTTGCCCCCCGCAGAATACCAAAGCATCTCCTGAGGTTGCCCTTGCGACAGGGTGGTTGACACACGCACGCACGCACGCACGCACGCACTCTCACACACACACACACACACACACACACACACACACACACACACCGCGGGGGGGAGAGGAAAGACAAAACAATTCCCACTTGGGGATCGGAAGTCCCCAAACCAGCCCAACCCCACCCAATTCCAGGGGTAGAGGTAAGTTGTAGACCTTCTCGGGAGGGGCTGGACGGTGAGCGCATGAGGACATGCACTTGCACGGTGGTAGGCATACGTATCACTCCATCCATCCATCAGCCATCCATCCATGCATGCATCCATCCATGCATCCATGGTCTGCGTCCATGCATCCATCCAAACATCCGTCCATCCGTCCATCCATCCATCCATCCATCCACCCACCCAGCCATCCGTCCATCCGTCCATCCGTCCATCCGTCCATCCGTCCATCCGTCCATCCGTCCATCCGTCCATCCGTCCATCCATCCATCCATCCATGCATCCATGCATCCATGCATCCATGCATCCATGCATGCATTTTCATGCATCCGTTTCCATGCATCCATGCATCCATCCATGCATCCATGCATCCATGCATGCATTTTCATGCATCCGTTTCCATGCATCCATGCATCCATCCACGCAGGCACACATCCAGACACACATGCGCATGTACACTAATGCGCACATACACACATCCCTCGATCTATCCATCCACGCACGCATCCATACCTACATACATACCTACAGACAAACAGACCGCCAGGCAGGCAGGCAGATGCCGATATACGATGATATACGCATACATACGCCACTGTAGAAGCGATCCCGTGTGCAAGTACACAAGTACACTCGATGCACTGTAAGGCGAGCAGAGAACGATAATTCTGCCGAGAAGGAGTCCCAGAAGAGAATGCAAATACCACACTTTGAGTGTTTGTCAATGACCGACCCGTCACTCACTATGTCCGAGCCGTCGCACGGAGCATACTGCAGAGAGCACTCCAGAGCCGTAAGGCAACACTTGCCTTCGACACTCATTGCACTGCCTGTCAAAGCGCGAACTATCTAAACCCAGCCCCAAAACTATCTAAACTATCTAAACCCTTCCCCCAGCACACCCACCGCAACACCTTATACATAAAGGCTTATCTTACATACATACATACATACATACATACATACATACATACATACATACATACATCCATCCATGCATGCATGCATGCATGCTACATAACAACACATCACACTACAATACGTTCCATTTTATTGCCTTATTACATTACATCAGTACATACATACATATATGCATAAATGCATACATACAGACAGACAGACAGACACACACACACACACACACACACACTCACTCACGCACTCACTCGCTTACGCGAGCAGGCATTCATTCATTCATTCATTCATTCCATTCATTCATTCATTCATTCCATTCATTCATTCATTCATTCATTCATTCCATTCATTCATTCATTCATTGACATGCATGCATGCCTGCATGCATGCATGCATGTGTGTATATATACGCACAGGTATGCTCGTACGTAGATACATACGCGTGTACATACAGACCAACACAAACAGCTGGGCAGACCGGCTGACCGATGCAGACAAGCACACAGGCATGCGCAGATGCAAGCCTACGTCAAGGAGGGACTCAGCACCAAATTTGTTCCAAACTCTGGGCACCAAACAAATCCGAAGTCCGGAGCGATGCATCATGGAGGCAAAGTCTTGATCCAAAGAACTTCGCGACAGTGTTGCCGTCTAGAGCAAGGCTTTGAGCAGGCCCTGGCCTGCTGCGAGATCTCCACTTTGAGTGTTTGTCGGTCGCGTGCCTAGCGGCACTTTGAGACACAGAAAGCTCTGTACGGGTCGTTCCGTTACCACAATCTCACACTGGCGATTGAAAGCGCAGAGGCTTGCCGCACCAGGATCAGCCATGAAATGCTTGGATGACATGCATGGTTTCTCGTGGTGGCTTGCAGGCGATGGCATTTAGCAGAGCTCGCGCAGTCAAACATTCAGCCAGTGTTGCTGCTGCCTCCGAGGCATTGGAGGGCTGCACTTTTAAGGATTTCTGCTGACCGTCCAGCACCGTGTCCCAAGTCCCTCCGAAACTGGTGCAGCATGGGAGACCACATGCACAGGGCCTTCGCAAGGGGTTGATCTGCAGGCCGAGCTGCCTCATGGTCTCGTGTACTTTGCTATCAACAGCATAACACACAGCAAGTGGATCCGTGGCTGCACCAGCTGCGGCCTCGTAAGCAGCTGATCTCTGCTGGCTTTCCGCAAGCCTCGATTTGCGCTGCATGTGGTTGGAGAGGATTGCACAGCCCTGGACCACATCGATGAGTTCTTCAAAGCCCTTCTGCCCCTTTCCAATTACTTGACCAAGCCACGAAGAAAGACGTCATACCACCTGATTACGTCGTCGTTTACAATACTCAAGAGATCCCACGAAGCACACTGCTTCGCTTCTATGGCCAGCACCTCAACCCCAACAAGACCTTACATGGGGAAATCAATTGGAATCCTCCTTACAGGGGCTGAAGTCTGTGTCGCACATCACGACTGGTCGGTTGGGGCGGGTGGGGTTGACATAATCCAATGCAGGATGTGTGGCTGCCTTGTTTGGTGTACTTTGAATCCCATCGCTGGACAAAGAGCTTGAGGTTACTCAAAACATCAGACACCATGTGTGCGGCTTTCAGCAGGCTTGACAACCCAGCAGTGAGGACACCGTGCAGCTCGGATGCATATGTTCGACTTCCAGGAGTGAGTACCTCAGCAAGCGACAAACAAATGCCTGTGCACTTTCAGTAGAGCTTGAAAACTTGCGCATGGCAAGCAGCCGGAAAACGGTGCGAATTTGAACATGAATGCCCGAGCCACATCTGGCTTTCGACTTGTCGCATGACTAGCACTCCGCTCGCGCCAGCTCGAAGTCGGACACGGGGAGCGGGGAGCTACTATTGTGGTCGTGACTTTTGTGAACCTACAGACAAGTAGCTGAGTAGTTTGTGGCCGCTTCGCGATCAAAAATGCATCCGTGCTGCGGATACTGGAGAGCTGGCAATCCAGGCCGCAGCCGTTGTTGGTACTGCTTCCACTCCTCCTGGAGCTCCTCAATTTGGGCTTCACGGGGTTCCTTTCCAGCTTTGCAGCTCAATCCCGAAGCTTCGGTTCAAGCTCACGAAGACTCCCCCGAACCGAGCCTCGAGAAACCGATCTGCCGGATGCACCCGTTGCATGCGGGCTGCCTTCCTGGAGCTGCAGGCGTAGCGGCATGCGGCATGGCGTTGATTATGTAGGATGTAGGGTGTATGGGGGACGGGCAAGTTGCGCAAGGGGTGTCCCTGCAATCCATACAGTAGAACCTCAAAGTCTAGAGCCCCAAGTGCACAACTCTGGACTATCGCATCTCAGTCGCATTCTGGCGACGTTCCGCTGAGATACGGCCAATCCTGGGACACCTGCAGCGAAGGTACCCTAGCCCAGCCACGCTTTGCGGTTGATCTTCTAACTAGGGATAATTCGGGCCATCGTCGTGGCATGGGGGGATGTGAACCCCTTCACCGTCCGACCATCCACAACTTTACAACACCTTTGGTCCATGAACCTTGAGATAAGTCCCGATGCACGAGACAACGAACCGAGGGCTCGGCCCTTTCTTTTTGCAACGACGCGGACATGTATAGCCCTCGCCTTCGGTGTGGCGTCAACGCATCGCCAAGCCACCGTCGATGATGATGTTCGTGCCACAGCAGTAACCCCCGTCCTCTGACAGGAGGAAAGCGACAGCAGACACGACCTCGTCGATACTGCCGAGGCGCTTCATCGGGACACCACCGAGCTTGTTCTTGCCCACTGTCGTGGGGTCCTTGGCAAAGTATGGGCTGCCGCTTGTAGCATGAAGCTCGTTTTGCCTGTCCCACATGAAACCAGGGCCGATGAGCGCAGGGGAAACGGCATTGACCCTGATATTGTCGGGGGCCAAATCCTTCGCCACGGTCATGGTGAGCGCCAAGAGGGCGGCCTTGCTTGCAACATAAGCCGGCATGGCCGGCGTGCCTCGCAGGGCAGCCACACTAGCCGTGTTCACGATGGTGCCACCGCCGGTCTTTCGCATAGACCTGGCGACGCATTGGATCACGCGAAAGGCACCGACGACGTTAATCTCTTGGACCTTCTGGAAGTCTGCAAGGCTGTAGTCGAGAGTCGGTGTGACGTCCCCCTGAACACCAGCATTGTTCCAAAGGTGTGTGATGCGGCCAAACTTTTTTTCAACCTGTGCCACAGCACCTTCTACGTCAGAGTCACTGGTAATGTCGCATGTGATCGCAAACGATTCAGGGCCTGGCACTGCCCGCAACGCCTCTTCTGTTTTTTGCAGCCCCTTTGCAGATGCGTCCAGGAGCACCACCCGGGCACCTTCGCACTTAAAGGCCATGGCACCAGCCCTGCCGAAATCACCGCCCGCACCAGTGATCACGATCACGCTGTCAGTGAATCGGCTGCGTCCTGTCTTGTCGTCGCACACGGTGGTGGCATTACCTAGGCTGAATGCCGTGGCGGCCGTGGCGAATGCTGCGACAGCAGCCCCTGATCCCCTCGCAAAGGACGATCTGGCAGAATCATGAGTGGAGCTTTGTCTGTGCGCCTGTGGTGTCAAGACTTGACGAGCACAATGCAGACCATCGGACGAGGCCGCGCTGATAGTGCGCACCCACGTGCGTCGCAGCATCAGTCCACTATGTGCAACACCGCAAGATCAGATGCTTGAACCGGGTTCGGTCTGCAGGCACATGTCTCGCTACAATCAGTAATCTTTCGTTGCATTGTCAGCCTGACTGTCTGGTTGTTCACCGTTGTAGTGCTACTGCTTTCTGCTGCAGCAGTCGAAGTAGGTAGCAGCAGCAGTAGTAGTGGTAGTGGTGGTAGTAGTAGTAGTAAGAGCAGTAGAGGAGTAGTAGCAGCAGCGGCCCCCTCCTCTGCATTTTGGCAGCACGTTACTCGGTATTTACAGCGGCGCTTGCCTATTCTCCCGCCACAATTCGTTGCCTCAAAACTTAGTTGCCGACTTTGCAAGCTCGAGCTTGAGATTTCGGAGGGTGTGTGGAATGTGGGGGATTGGCGGCGGGACGGTAGGGCCGGGGTGGGTGATAACGACAATCCAGTGCGCACACACACACACACACCGCCCACTACTTCAAAAGCAAACCCTCCTCCGCCAAGGTTAGGAAGCATGAGCTGCCGCAACTTCTGGCGTCGTCATACAGGGAGCCTAAAAGCTGCCACTGCCCGGCCCAGATTTGGTCAGTATAGTTGCTAGGAGGCCGGGTGGCCAGAAGTCGTGGTGTGCCGCCAATCTGGAGCAGCTAACGTGTGCAACCTGACCGGTCATCTTGGTGATCTTGCCCCAGTCGAGGGTGGGTTAGGTGGTGCAAGATTATCGGTCATCTTGCAATCTTCTGAACGAGTGCAGCAAGTGGGCAAGATTGTCGAGATTACTGACCTGGCACACCAGTGGTTCCAGATTCTCGGCACAATGTAGTACTATAGTACTAGTAGTAGTGGTAGTAGTAGTAGTAGTAGTAGTAGTAGTAGTAGTAGTAGTAGTAGTAATGATCATAGTAGTTGTTGTAGTTATAATGCTAGTTGTTGTTGCAGTCCTGGTAGTAGTAGTAGTAGTAGTAGTAGTAGTAGTAGTAGTAGTAGTAGTAGTAGTAGTAGTAGTAGTAGCCTTCAGCAGCAGTAGCAGTAGCGTCCCCGATCATGCTGATGCTGCTGCCCACGATCTCATAACATCTTTGAAGCACGGAATTGTCGCAAATATCATGGCTTTCTCAGGCTGCTCCATCGCCAGTGAACCAACACATGCTTTGGGCGGGCGATTCTCGGGTTTTAAAAGAAAGAAGAAAGCGGGCAAGACGGCCCGACATGCATGAAGAACATGCAAACCGAGCACACCTTGATCGTCTTGCTGTCGGCGTGTGGTGTTGTCGCGATGTTCATCGCTGCTGTTCTTGTTGCGGTGTCATTTTCGTCCTCAGAGCGCACTCGTTGTTGCTTGCTGTTGCTGATGATGTGGCCACGCCATAAGCGAGAAGGTACAGAAGTTCATCAACGACCAAGGCCTCGTCCCAAAGCAAGCAGCGTCTGACCAACGAAAGTCGAACCCAGGTCCTTGGTGTTGTTGGAAGGTCATGAACACGTGCATCAAGCTATGCTCAAAACTATGATAGACGCCAGTCGTCACCGGGAAGTATGCGGCAGTGCAGCAATAATATGCTGGAAGAGACGCTGCTCTTTCCACCGCTCCAGCCGATCCTCTATCGTGCTGAACAAACAATCCCCCGGGCCTCGGCCAGACTCGGCGACGTCGGAAGCCCTCCAATCGTGTCCTCCAACTCCCCGGGCCTCCCACGATTTCGCAGAGATGCTCTAGGGCGCTTTAAGCAGCTTCGGAGTCTGTAGCTTTTGGATTTGCTAGGGGCAGGGGTGTCTTTATCTCTCTCTGCTCTGTTCTGTTCTCCGGGGTGTAGAGGAAGAGTCCCTCTCTCTCCGTCTGTTTTTTCTGCCAGGGCTGTTGTAGAGGGTTGCCCTTGTCTATCTTTCTCTCTCTCTCTCTCTCTCTCTGTGTCCGTGTCTGTGTTTGTCTGCGTGCGCGTGTGTGTCTGCGTGCGAGTGTGCATGCGCGTGTTCGTGTGGGTGAGTCCGTGTCTCTGTCCCGTGTCTCTGTCGCTGCGTGAGTGTGTGGGACCCCTGTTTAAAAGGATGGGTTTGTGTTTGTGCCTCATGGTGCTTAGTCCGAAGTGGTTGATATCGAAATTCTGCAAGAAGCAGGGTGGCTGGCTGCCCATGCCCGTCGTATCCGGTCTGTTTAACCCCGCACACCTGCTTAGATTCGGAAACTTTTCTCAGTGCAGACTGCATGCATCGTCTGGCAGAGCCTACAGTAGCGACCCATGAGATGCCTGCACGTCACATTATGTGTCGAATGAACAACGTATAAAGTCATTGCTTCTTACGTAAGCTTGTATCTCAGAAGAAACATTCTGGCCAAAGGCCCACTAGAACAATGGCAGCAAGCAATGTATGACAACCTCCTTCGAGAAGACCTGCTTGTCTGTGTGAGTCTCTGCATGCAGGCGGTCGCGCTATCACACATGAACGAAGAAGTACACTTATGACCATGTTGCCTCCCAAGCCCAGCATTGCTAGACTGCTAGACCACGCCACTGGACAAGCAGTGAGTTTCGTGTTACGCAATGCAGCATGCCCGCTACGGGCAACTACCACTGGTCCAACATGGAAGCCTTCTGCATGGCCGAGCCTCTGCAGGAAGTGAAAGAAGGCGTCGTGTGCATTCTGCAGCTGGACGAAAAAGGACAGTGTTGCGAGACTCCTCAAGCTTGGAAGCAAGGGTTGTGTAAGACCCAAAACAAGAATGCAGCAGCTGCAAGCCCAATGCGTTCAGAAGTTGCTTTCCGATGGGTGATGAGCTCACCTGTGCTGCATTCAGCATGTGCAAATCCTGTTTTACGAAAGACTGCACACAACTCAAGCTCTCAACGCTGAGCCCATAAACTCAAACAGGAACTCGTAATGCCTCAGCCCGGTCCGTCGATGAAGCATGTGTGATGGCACGGCTGGCACGCAAGCGCTCCTCGCTCCGTCCGTCCGCGAAGCGAACTTGAAGACGAAGCGCCGTGGGTCCCCGTTGATCCAGAAACCTGTCGTCGTTCTTGCAATTTCATTACTCCCACGTATTGGTCCTTCAGAGCCAGTGTTGCTGTCTCCGCCAGAATCGTCCTGCCTAGTCCCAAACGAGGACTCGCCGCACAGATTTTTCACCCTGAAGTTTGGCCTAAAGCCACCCCGGCTTCCAATCAACCTTATTGGCCTCTGAATACATATCTGCCGTTGCCCTAACTATAGCCACCCATGATCTTCCAAGTAGCATCTAGTGAACCTCATGCTCCAAGCCGTTGGCCAAAGCACCCTTTCGCTTTGGGGCCTCCTTGTTAAACGTGAAAAACAGCGAAACATGAAAAATCAGGGTATTCCAAAGTTTTCGGTAGAAGATACAGGCTGATACAGGGTAGTTCGATAAAGTAGGGTCCCACATGAGGCCCAATAGTACGGCACCCCTATAAAAGCTGGCGTGTTTCACGTGTGCTCTCGGCCGAAAATTGAACTGTCAACAGAGATGTAGCTTCGCGAAAGGCTGTATCGATATGCAGCGATTTCATCCTCATCGTTTTGTCATGCGACATTCCAGTTGGCAGTCGTCGCTACTACAACGGGCAGTGTTCTTTCGAGGATCCGGTGTCACACAGAGTGGGAAATTGACCCGAAGCATGGTCTTGAACAACAAATGTGGCAAAACGACCGAACAGTGACCCAGAACACAACAACCCAAATCAACAAGCAGTAAGCCAACGGACACCAGGAACCATACCAAAAGCTGCACCCCAACCGGCGCACTGAACAAAGAAACGGTGCATTGATTCCATTCCGGCGCATCTGAGTATTTCTCACATGCCGGTCACCGCATCGAGCTGTGTCCTTTCCTACAAATTCGCCGTGCACTTCGCTGGTGTATCCCACAATGCAAGGTCGACGCGACAAGACCTCGCGTTTTGTTGTCTACATGATTCTTAACTGCACGTACTGGCATGTTTGAAGTTTGAAGGGCTTCCCTCAGCCGGACAGTGGTTGGCTAGACGCCACAAGCGAATGTCACAGGTTCCCAATTGTGCGGAGTTCTGGTACAGCGCAAACAAGCGTGCCCCATGACTCCCTGAAGCAACTCCTGGGCTGCTCAGGCCCGTTGAGGCCCAGTCCCGCTCCCTTCTTGCCATTCCCTAAAGAGTCCAAGGCCTCGCAGGCTCTGCACCTGCAGCCAGGCTAAGGCTTCGCTGCGGACATCGGATTCGGAGTCTTCGGGCTGTGCAGCGCGCAGAGGTTTAGGGGTTCAGATGCAGGGCTTGGGCTTCGTTTCACAGAACAATCCGTAGCCAGAGCAACTTCAGACTCCATCGGAGATCCCGCAGCCTGAAGTTCGTGCGATTTTGCTCGTGCCGAAACCCTGCCTGTAGACCCCGATTTAAGGCGTCCTGCGCAGAGTGATCCCAGCCTCGGACCACGGGACGGCGATTCTGAGAACTTGTACCCTGCAGAGGTTTGAACTCTGCTGGACAGGTCAATCAACTTTTGCAACCTATCTACAGGCGGCAGCTCTGTAGGATGAAGTTGGGGCGGTCGATGAAACTGCTTCTACAGCGGCTGACAGCAGCTGGTGGGTGGCTTTCGTTTGCGGGCTCTGCAGCTGTATAGCCTACAGTGCCTACAGCCGGACAACTGGAAAACAGAGCATCCATCCTACAAGAAACTGACAATTTTCGGCATCCAAGGCAACTCAGTCTTCTGCGGTCTTTATACTCCGGCTTAAGCAAAACAGGGCAATTCGAGTGCCCAGCCCAAGCATTTCACCACCATGCTGCAGTCCACCGTGCGAGAGCGTCCGCCTCCTTCCTCCAGGTTTGTCGGTTTGTCACGGTTTGGTACGGAGCTTGCGTGTCCGCATTGGTGTAGTGTAGCTCTGCGTGGGCATTAGCAGCAATCGTATTGGAACCTGGCTGCCGATGCCGGAAGAGCATTCGAGGTTTGAAGGCGTATACCCTCAAGCAACACCAAGAAGATGCATAGCAAGACTGTAGATGTCTCCTACCAGTACCTGGGCAGCTTTCCGACTGCAAGCGAGCGAACTTGGTGTCCGCACCAGGCTCAACCTGGCACTTCTGGGAAGCAACTCGGCCAGTTGGCCGACGACCACCTGCCACACTGCATACACGGCATACAGTAATGCTCGGCACTTCTCTGCACTTCGCCGGAGACAACACTCTCTGGGATTTAACCGGTCGAGCAGAGGAATTGCCGTCTGTCGAGTGACCTTCTGCTCACCACGAATATTCTACACACGGGACTCTTCTGGCATACTTTTGCATACGATTCTGGGTCGCGAGGCCTAAGTCTGCGTCTCCATGCCCTGAAGTAAACTGTCAACACACTTACACACTGCACTCATGGAGCTCCGAGCCGGAAACATCAATCAACGACCTACATGTCCCTCACCCTTGCGGCCCGGACCTCCAACACTCCCAGTGCCTGGCGCGTTGCACCCGACTGGAGATGTACAAAAGGCTGCTAGGCCATGACATGATGAAGCGCATGACCATGGCTAATGGGATTTCAGTTTAAGCTTTTGCAGAACTAGTAACGCAGTCCTTGTCGGTTTGCATTCCTTTTGCTTCATGGAGGGCCTGTTTCTGCGGGCAGGAAGATCCAGACAATCTCCGGATGGCAACTCGGCTGTGCAAACCTTCTTGGTAGAAGATCTTCTCGTCAACTAGTCTCCCTGTCGGCTGTCCCGCTAACACCGCTCCGGGAAGTCTATATGCCTGCAACAGAAAGTAGACATCGGAGATGGCCGGGTTGGACTGCCTCAGTGCATGCTGCTCCCGACATGTAAACTCTTGAACCTGTTCCGCCTTTTTCAGTGTGTGACTGAAGACATGATTTCAGATCAACCGTTTATACACCCCGCCAAGCATCTGCATCTGAGTTAACAGAATAAACCGAAAGGGATCTACGTTGGAATCTACATCCGTAAGTTGCAAGCACCGAGGGGCGACATGACCTTCCCTCTCGGATCAGCCAGAATACTCCTGGCTGGTGCGATGCAAAGAGTCGCCAGCTTTGGCTTTGGTTTCCCTGAGAAAGAGAATCTCTAAAATGAGGGGTTTTGGGTGGTGTCCAAGTCTGGCAAAAAGGTTCACACCTTGAGTGGCCCCAAGCTGGCCTGCGCAAGGCTTGCTCCTTTTGCTGCGCAGACAAGCCCACGAGCTCATACATCGGCTGCGAGATGTGTAGCAGCGCGTCCATGCCGAGCTCCTCAAAGTGCTGCGGAGCGCAATGATCGCACACAGGCAGTCTGTTCTGTTGTTCCCCAACCTAGACACAAGCCTCGAAACTCCGAGACCGCGACAGCACCAGGCCCGCTTCCATCCACCAACCAGGCAGCGACCTCAGCGGACTTTCGAAGGGTTGCTTTTTTTGCCTAAAGTCTCAGATGTCGTTCGGCCCCGAAGTGCAAAAATTGGCTTCAGCCCACAGTCACATGCCGTGCAAAAACCCAAAACATCAACCTTTCTGTGCTTCCACTCCACAAAGCAACCCATAAGTTCAGACTTGGATATGCAGCCGGCCGGTTTGACCGCCGACAGCTTAGAAGGCCTACAGCCCGACCTCAAGCAGCTGACGTTGGACATGTGGCGACTTGCACGGCAATTTCCGAGGCTGGAGCACGTGGAAGGACCAGATTCCGCCTAAGCGGACGAAACGGCAGGCGATACCTGTGTCTTTAGCTCTAAGCCCTTGGTGTTGCTATGATGTGTGCTGCGTTGTGGGTCCTGCGGCGACGACGATGACGATGACGTCCCTGTGAAGGTGCCGCTGGTGATACCGTCATCACCTTCGCCGTCGCCGATGCCACAGCCACCACCACTTCTCACTGCCACTGCAGCATCATCACCATCATCATCATCACCATCGTCATCATCGTCGTCATCATCATCAGCATCATCATCAGGATCCACGTCCACATCTGCCCCATCTCCTTCATGAGACAATCAAAGGCAGGAGCCATGGTAGCGGTCGCACGAAGTCGTGGTAGTGCATTCACCAGCAGCAGCAGCAGCAGCAGCAGCCGCCGTTGTCGACCATGACGTCATAACACTAGTCGCAGTAGTTCGTCGATGTTGTCGTCGTCGTCGTGCCCGTCATCAACATAACATGTCGTCTTCAACCAAACGGTAGCAGGCAGCAGCAGCAGCGGCAGCAGCCGCGCGGTCGCCGTCGTAGTAGTAGTAGTAGTAGCAGTAGTAGCAGTAGTAGTACTACTACTACTACTGCTACTGCTACTACTGCTACTACTGCTACTGCTACTACTACGACTACTACTACTACTACTACTACTACTACTACTACTACTACTACTACTACTACTACTACTTCTACTACTACTACTACTACTACTCTACTGCTACTGCTACTGCTACTGCTACTGCTACTGCTACTACTACTACTACTACTGCTACTGCTACTACTACTACTACTACTACTACTACTACTACTACTACTACTAGTGCTACTACTACTGCTACTACTAGTTTTAATGGTAGCAGTGGTAGTAGTCGTCGTGGTCGTGGCGGTAGTAGCAGTAGTAGCAGCAGCATAGCCGTAGCAGTAGTAGCAAAAGCAGCGGTGAAAGCAGAAGCCTCGGCACCTTGCCGTGTATGGAAAGGTTGAGGTTCTGTCTGAAGTTCTGAAGCAACTCAACAGTCTGTTAACCTCCAAGGCATCCATCCCGTGGACATGCATTTGCCTACACTCGGGCGGGGCTCGAATGATCAAGCGATCCTGCGTGGATTTGGGTCTGGACGTCCGGTTTGCAAAAAGACTGACGGACCTTGCACATGCCGCTGAGTTTGATTTCTGCTGACATTTCGGAGCTTCTGGTCTTGGCTTCCGATGCGCGACATGGGAATCTGAGTGCGACGGTGTCGAGCTTCCGGATTCCGGCAGAACATATGGACTCCGTGAGTGGGCAAGTCTATACTCGGAGCACGGCCTCCGGCACAACATGGTCACGGAAGCTGCCCCTGCCTGCGTCAAAGCTATGATGGCGAGACTGCAACAGCTAACAAGCATGCAAAGCTGACAGGGCTCAAAGCACATGCCATCGGGCTGATGACGAACCGTCTCGTGTGTCGGACATCGATCTCAAGTGATCGCGAGGGGCGGAACAAGAAGGCCTGAAACTTTGTCCTGCCAGGCCTGGCAATCCTGTGAACATCAATATGTTTTGCACGCCTTTGGCCTTGGGCCTTGCAGAAGACTCATGCTAACCCGGCGAGACGAAATCACAGCAAAACGTTGCGTGTCGTGCCTCGCACTTATCCTTTGGATCCGTGGGGCAAGGGCTTGATTCGCTTGATCAGTTCAGTCTTGAGAGTTACTTTAAAAGTCATTCCGTGCAGTCTAGGGTGCCGCCTCCGCAGCGGTCCGGGTGCTCTCCACGGCGAAGGCGCCGTGCCCGAGGATGAGCACATGCCTGCGAAACAATTGCTCGTCTTGACCATGCACCCTCAGAGTGCGAGTAGGCAGCCTCTAAAGCCAACCCAAGCCCGAGCATTACTTTCTGGCTCCGACTGCTTCGATGTCTACGACACGACTACTTTTTTCTTGAGAGAAACTCAGCAAAGCTGTACTTCCTAGAGAATTAGGATCGACGACACACCTTAGCCAAGCGATGCTAGGATATGTCAGCCCTATGATACAGGGTTCAAAAATAAACGAATGTATGTATGTACCACTCTGTACATGCACTGGCACGGCGTCCGGAGGGAGCTGCTGCACCGCATGCGAACTACCCTCAACTTCTTCACGGGTTGGGCGATTGGCAACAAACCTTTCAGGGGTGTCACGCTTTCACGCCGTGGGCATGGGACTGCCATTCTGAACTTGGGCTGAAAGCTGCCGTCCACCATCCCCACACCTAACACCTTCAACCTTGACCTTAACTCTCGGACTTCCAGCCTCCAGTCTCCCCAGTCCAACAGGTCGTCGGCCACACCCAAAGCAATGCGGCCCTGGAAGCGCCGTTCCTGATACAGCAAGGGTCTATGCAGATGCGAGCTTTCCCAGGCTGGCCTTCGTGAAGTTCGCACATCTACGATGTTGATAGGTTCGCTTCTCCTGCCGGCACCGGACCCCAGCCTCAGCGATGCTACATTGCTATTGCTTGAAACGCCTTTCGTCCTGTTCTTAAAGATGTGGCGGGTTGATGCCACTCCCCGACTGTAATCAGGTTGCTGAACTGTTCGTTGAGAATAGACAGGCAGGCAAATACTGCACCTGAACAGAACGGCACGCCATTTGGTCACGATAAGCCCGATAAGATCACAAGGTTTCAGAGCCTACATATCGAAATTTCCTTTTAAAGATTACGGGGTGGTGAAGAGGGGTAGCTCTGTCGGGTGGCTCCTACTCCTGCATAGCCATGAATGAACCCCTCGATTGTCTGTTGAACCAATGGCAATGATCCGTTGGATCTTTGTGAAGAATCAGCGACTCCGTCCTAGCGTATTCGCTGGGTCTTTACATGGTCGCTTAGGGCTTCCGTTGTTTGTTGATGCCGGTACGTATCATGAAGACAGTCTTTCCCGGTCTTTCTATTCAGTGTCCGTTGGATTGCGTGCCCATGGGTGACGTTGTTAGGTTTCGCTGCCACCTCTGATCGGAAAAGTGGCGGGAGCAGCGGTAGCGCTGGCAAGGCACGGACTGCTTCCTGAGCCCGGACCTCTTTATCAGCACAAACTGTATCGGATGAGGCCTCGGGAAGGGGCTCGTCTCGCGGCTTCGGCAAGAAGCCCGGATAGACCATGACCTGGCAGGTCACGGACGACGAGACGGACCAAGCAGCGATAATTCTGCGAACATGACATTTCTGTTCAGCTCGAGCATTTGGTTGCTCTACAGTCTGGATCTGCGGCTACCCTCTTTCTCTTGCTTGCCGAGTGTCTGCCGCAAACGGGCCTGGCCGCAAACAATGTGCTTACAGGTGTCTTTGTTCCAAAACCGCGCACGGCTAGTGCAGTTGCTCGCTTCGAACATATTTGTAACATCTTGCTTCGAAGCTATATGTGCAACTGGAACTGTATGTAGCGGTGGAGTTCTTGCTGCGGCCTTCGTGATGCCGGAGTCCATCCGGAGACTGCCACCCCACGTTGTAGGTGCCGGGGGCCTGCAATCGTTCTTCAGAGGTCGCTTAGCTGTTGAGGCGAGGGGTAGCACACGGGGCCGTAGCAGAAATGGCAATCGACCTCGCTCAGCGGCTGCTCCGGCCTCCATGTCAACTTGAACCACTTCAGCACGGAAACCTCGCTTATGATCATGGGTGCCAAATCCAGGAAGTATTAATTAAGTATCCCTCACAGTGTCGATTGACGACACACCTGAGGCAAGTCTCTGCCTTTCAGATCGTATGATAAGCTGGCTCAGTTTTTTCAATCGGGAATCTGCATAGTTGCGAAATGCGGATGGATGGATGGATGGATGCCGCAAAGAACATGAGGCTCACAGGGAGTTTTTTGCAAAGCCGCTCAGGCGCATGCACGCAGGCAGCGTTGCGAAGCAGGGATTTATGTGCGTGTCAAGAAGTTGTCGGCGACAGAAGCGTGCAGCTGTCTGCACGCAGTCGCGCTTCCAGTAAAGCTTTACTCAAAGGCGAGGTGGCTGCCAGCAGACGCTATGGTGTAGTGTCAGTTTGCTCATCACTCTGTCTGTGAGTGAGTGAGTGCCTGAGTGAGTGAGTCAGTGAGTGAGTGAGGAGCGAGCGAATGAGTGCAAGAGAGAAAGAGAGAGAGAGAGAGAGAGAGAGAGAGAGAGAGAGAGAGAGAGACAGAGAGAGAGAGAGAGGGAGAAACAGAGAGAGAGAGAGAGAGCGAGAGCGAGAGCGAGAGCGAGAGCGAGAGCGAGCGAGCAAGAGAGCCAAAGCGCAAGCAAGCCAGCAAGCAAGCAAAGCATGCTGCAATGCTCTTCGTACTTCATACATCGAATACGACGACCTTACAGGAACCAACTTAAGTGGACCCTCTCCCGTGCTGCCAGCTGCGGCCGAAGCACGGCAATGGTCAAGGATTCGGTGATGCGACGCAAACTCCTGGCACTACAACGACAGGCTGCTGGTAGCAAGTGAGCTTGTCTGCTGCAGTGCGCTGTCATCGTGGGACTGGCTGACCATCCAAGCATACCATGAGCTGAAGCTCCCTTGTCGCAGTCGCGAGCGCAACCGAAACTAAGTGACAGTGAAAACCATTGTGACGGTCATGTCGTGACCCACTCAGCCTGAGCATGATCCAGCATGGCATCTCTCGGGGTATAGTTTGGCAGCTTGGCCTCAGCGTTTCAGGTCGTGCCCTTGGAGCTTGAAGGTGGTTTGCCCCAGTCTGTAGGTATCAGTTTCCTGAATTCTGACACTCTGACATCAACATGTTTTGATATCACGATCGTTCGCAATGCTGTTGAAGCTCCTAACATCAGGGTCTTTCCTTCGGCGTGATTCAGCGCGATGGCCATGCACGCACGAGCATGCGACAAGGAATCCTTGCCCACACCAAAGCAAGACAGGGTAGCATCTGCTCCATGGTGGTGCCTGTCCGCTGGAGTTTGCTGAGGCCCAGCCTGTTCAGTAGCCTATGGTGCAAGTTGGTGCAAGGCAGAAAAAAATTGAAGTCCCCGGCCGTACACTCGCCGTCCGCCAGGCCCAGGTGGTAGGTGCCCCGCTCAATCTGGGCTTTCGAAGTGCCTCTGGAACTGTTGAACTGTGCAAAATATTGGGCTTGTTCAGGGCGCAACTCGTGGCAAATGCCTTGGTTAAGTCTGACACGCACCACGTATGTGTCTGTACATACATACACAGACGCACATATCATCAGAAATCCGCAAAGCCACACGCAATAGCCACAGCCCACTGAGCTTCCGAGCGGTTCGCCATGGAACGCCAGGAACCACCGAGTGCTCCCTGCCTGAGCCCCACTATGCTGAAAAAGCTTCGCGGTCTCACGGGGCAGCACAGTTCCTAGCTACTCTTGAGAAGCCTCGACCCTTAAGTTGTTCGCAGCTTCTAGAACCACGGAAGCCTGCCACCTCGCTAAATCCAGCTCGGCGCGTGCAAAAGGCGATGGCTTGAGAGGGGTTCAGACATGAAAAGCAAAAGGTCGGGTGTCGTCGGTGTACATATGCTCAGCCGAGGTCCGTCTCAAGATTAAACTGATTACATCTCTGGGAGTGTGTCGGATGTTTCTGGTAGGAAGATTCTTGAACGAGGGGGCGCCATGCTTACGTCCAAAAAAAAAGGGTGTTCCGAAGCATCTCTGACACTGCGGGGCATCTTGAAGGACAACACCTCTCACTTGACTTAACGCACTCTCCGCACCGCCCGGGCAGGGTGATCTTGTTCATGCAATTGATGTTGCGAGGATGGAAGATGCCCTCGAAATCCGGCAAAACGTAGGGACTGAAGAGGTTTTGTCCACTGAGCCCAGCACTTCTCGAAGATGCGGAAATCGATTCCTCGTCGCTGCAGCTCGCGGGCCTTCCAGAACCAGGTCATCCAGACCATCAATTTGTTCATGTCATGCGAAGCAACTCCGATTAACACGCCGAAGACTTTACCAGCCAGCAATACCAACACTGAGGTACACTGTGACGCAGTTAGAGCTGGTTAAGACTTCTTCCAAACCAAAGCCTTGAGCCGAATCCTCAAGCCCCTGTCCATGAGCCCCACAGCTCCCCATCTCCACGCGCCGCAGAGAGGCCGCCAAAACCGGCACCAACCACGGCCACGGGGGCTGCCAGAGACTGCAGGGGGCGGTTCTCAGGACGAAGATGTTGTGTCTCAAGCTGGTTGCGATTGCGCTTTCTCTTTCCTTCTTGCAGATGCACGCGCTGCGGAAACCTTCCGAGTACAGGCAGTTAGCAGTTCGTTCGTGCTGTTGGAGTCATGATTCCTGTCTTCTCATGCTGGACGCTAGAGCTATTCTTGACTAGATGCCGAGGCACTTTGCCGAAGCAGAAACGGCGTGAAACGCTACAAGCAAGTCTGCTCAAGGCAATCGAACGAAGACTGAACGGCTGCATGATCCCGCATGTATTGAAGTGTGTCTGTTTGAGATGACAAGTTACATATACACCTTAATGATGCGGTGTTGATAAGTCCTCGAGATCAAAGTTTGAGGAGCTTGGAGCGGGCACCAGTGGCGCACCGAAGGCATCTCGATGAGTTGGAGTATGCTTGGATAAAGCATTTCGGCCCTTCCCGAACTCCCGGCCTGATAATTGTGTGCGTCCTGATGGCACCCTGCTCCCCACTCGACGCCACGCCCTGTCCGTAGCAGCGGACACTTTGCGGGTCGGGAAACAAACTCGCGTGCAGAGCGCAAACAGGCATGACCGCAACAGCTGCAGTTGTTGGACTCCCTGTCACACATCGCCACATACCGTTGGATTGTCCCTGGATGCAAGTGATTAGTCATCATCCAATCCAGGACGAAGGTCTTGCCGTGCTTCTCTGGGAAGCCGAATCGCATGTCAGAAAGCTCTAAGGCCCCATTGACTGATGCTGTGAATTTTAGAGTATTGGACAAAGTGGAAAAGCGGACCCTGTGACCCAGTCTAAATGCGGATACATCAGCATCGAACCAGGCAAGGAACCTCAACTATCCCCAAAGCATATTGAAAGCCATATTTGAAACCAGGTTCTTCTTGAACTGGAACGAAGCTCGGCATCGACAATTCTGGGAACTCGCCTAAATCACGAAGTGCCGGAAGCTGCAGACCGATCTGGTCCTGGCTTCAAGAGCAGTCACCGAGCCTCTCTCGGTCTTGGGTGGGGAATGCCAGCGAGGGGTTGGCGGAGAGGGCCAGCGCAATGGAGTTCTGCAACTTGGGGGAACCCATGTTACGTTGGAGCTGATCCGTTCATCTCGGCTCGCAAGTTTCGCGTAACCAGACACCGGCACAGCAAAGACGGAGTTACTTAGTATAGCCTGCAAGGACTTGGCAAAGCAGGAAATGCAACGCTCCTTTTGCTCCTTTGAGCGAACAAGTCAAGAGGTTAGGCAGAGGTAAGACGCACAGCTAAGGCTGAATAGTCTGAAACATTATCATTCTGACTCATCAGGGGTTGTCCCAAACACATTTGCCACACCGCCTGCGAGTATCTATGAATTTAAATCCCTAAACTCTGAACAATCGGAACAATCGGACAACCCCCGCAGTCAGCGAAACTACGTCACTACGTCTCACACGAAAGACGGAGTGTGCGGACCTGGGATTGCATAATGTATCGCTGGAATCATGGAAGCTTGGGCTTGGTACATTCTGGGGAAGCAGCATCTCCAAAACCCCGGTAGCCGACCCGTTTTCAATTTCGTCAATAGCAAGCAGAGGGTCGAGGGTTTCCGGATGAGGGTCTGCGGCACCGTGTTTCAATAGACAGGGCAAAGACGGACGATGAAGGACTGCAGCCTCGAAACACCGAAGCCCCCCAAATGCAAGAGACCGATGGTTATAGTTATAGTTGCAGCTAGGGATTTGAAGAGCATTTCGACGATGGCTGTTGTGCCCAGCTGTACCCTGCAGCCAAGACACTTCCAGGTGGTAGCCTGTCAGAGGGCTCCCACACTTGAAAGCTTGGCAGCTTTCCAAGGCCTCGGTCGACTGTGCAGCCCGGAGCCCCACTTTTCCGTGCGCCGGAGGAAATCTGAACACGATCTAGCCGACACCTGCGCTGTCTCGTGCTGTCTCGTCAAAAACAGCATGTAGCAAACACCTTCAGAGCTGAAGCCGGAAAGCCGCCCGAGACCCGAGCCACACAGAGCCGGATCTCTGTCAAAGGTTCTGCCTTAACGCCATGTTCAGGGCTATGGGCGCAGATAGAGATGCAATCGATGCAACATGCCCCGTGCTTGACATCCCTGTCGAGCAAGCGTGCGATGCGTGCTTTTCCTAAGCCCGAGCGTGTGTGAGCAGCACGAAGCTCGGACAACCCGATACAGCCTGGAACCTGCTTTAGCCCCGTGCTCCAGAACGAGCAGAGCTTGTGCCGGGTGTCGTCCGGAAACTCCCACATCTCCTTGGGGGTGCATTGGATCAAACGTGGAACAGTGTAACCTAACCACGGCAAGCTGGTCGGAAGCGAAGCATTTTCAGCTTGTCTTAATGTCTGAAAGTGGGATGCCCTGCTCTTATCGACCCAGGAAAGGCTCCTGATGATGGGATGCTCCATTGCAGTATGCCGGCGGCGTATAGGTGCGGACCTGCAGGCAAGGCAAACGGACTTCTGAAGATGCATGTAGCCAAAGTCCTATGCTTCTTTTGCACGAGCCGCAGCATTGACGTAAGCCATCGTCCCATGGCGGATTTCTATGTGGCTCCCTGCTGGCCTCATAGCAGCGTGGCTCCCCGGACAACACCTCAATCGCCTGACGCGTGACAAGACTCTACATGCCGAAGTCAAATGCAGCTTGTAAGCCTTCGCGAAAAAGGCGCGATCATTAGAGCTTGAACCTCGCTCAGGCGCAGGCCATCGCGGAGTACCTTGTTGGGACCTGAGCTGCAACTGCATCCTAGACTTCGACCGGAGTTCAGCTCTCATCGGTTTGGCCACGTGTAGTAAGCTTTCGGCAGTGTCGTCCAGGGTGCCGTGGGCAATCAGTACTTGCCTCTTCTTCTCTCCTCCGACAAGGCTAACTACCGACTGTAACCAGCATAGCTGCTGTTAGCCTCGAAGAGGAGCTGGAGCCCTGATTTCAGGCACCCAGACCCACAAGAGAATGCAAGAGCCGCAGTTCTCCTGCAGTGCAGTTTGAAAGAAGCTTCAACGGGTCGTAAACATCCTGAGTTCGAGGCGTAGCAGCACAGCACAGAAGAAATGTTTGAAAAGGAGCAGCAGACAGTCGGACAAGGAAGTCACTACCGGAACCAGTAACTAGAAGCAGTTTCCCTGCGCCGCATCTTCAATATGGATGTCCAGCTCTAACGTCGCCTTCTCGTCTTCTTCTTGTCTTCACTAAAGATGACTGCTCACTCGGACATTCTTCGAAATTTGCTCCTTTGCGTGCGAAGAGAACACCACTCCAATCGATCCTCAAAGCAACACCAAACCAGCGAGATCAATGGTGGGTTTCATGCGAGCTCAAGTCTCCTGTGCGGCCTGACGATGGTATCAGGCCAAGATGAGCAAGACGAAGAACAAGTATCAGGCGTCCCAGGCACCACACGGCCGCCCGAGAAGAAGGTAGCAGAGGCGAATACCTCAAGAGCGATGGAGATGATGCCTATGCCGGAAACGAAATGTCAAACTCTGCAACTACCGGGACCCAAATACGATGTGACTACTATCCCAGTGTTGAGTACTGAATGCACGAGGGAGCAATTGCACATAGCTGAGTGTGGAGCCATGAAACATAGCTGAGTGCAGGGGATGATGTGCAGTGGCTTTACAAGACATCGTCTGACATCCGCACGGTCCACATATCGTCGAAATGCATCCAAGCTGCACCTCTCGCAAGGATATCTCCAAAAAAGCTGCCAACGAACGGAGAAACCTGCAGAGGCTGCATCCATTGCGAATGAAATCGATGTTTTGCCCGAGCTGCACGCTAAGCCGCTAGGCTGAACTCTACACATTGCTCAGTGACTCAGAGCTCCTCGGTGCATCCTTACGAAGCCGTAAAGAAGGCGGGTATTAGCCTCCATCCTCAGACGATCGCGACCGGACAACAGCCGAGCATAGCCGAGCCCCAGACCGTGGACACAATCATCCCAAAAAGCCCGGCATAGGGGCCCTGCCACAACACAGAATGGTAGACAGGGGGGGCTGCGCATTCTCAAGTGAGGGTCAGGGTGAGAGTGACAGCGAGGGCCACAATCCACACAACGATAGACTGCCCGAAGCCTGTAAATGCCACCTGATTGCGGAGTTCTAAGGCCCTGGCTGAGTCCAGCCAAGCACCAGGAATTCTTTGTTCCAGGCCTGGAGCTGAGTCTGTCAGTAGGTGTGCGAGAGAAACACTGTGTGCGCACTGGCAGATCATGATGCTCGGGATCATGGTATCAATAACAACAACACGCGCGGCACATAATCACCGTAATGATTCTACAGGGCATCGTCAGCGGTCCTGGTGGCTTTGTTGATGGTGCGTGGTGACGGCGGCGGTGGCGACGGTTGTGGTGGGTATGGTGGTTGTGTTGGTGGCGGGCCAGGCGGGCGTGGCATCGTCAGCTGGAAGCCGTGAAAGTGTGAGTGAGTGAGCGAGTTTGCTTCCTGGCATGTCTGCGTTGGCACAACCTTGTTTGGTGGTGGAATTCCCCGAAAGTTTGGCCTAAAGGGTCGGGAAGGAACCAATCGCCTCGCTGAGCCGACGCTGCAAAGCCCTTCCTTGATGCAACGGCTGGGGAGCGATCCGAGGGCAATCGCAGTCTCGTAGGCTCCCTTGGAGAAGCCCATGATGCCTACCTCTGGAGCGGCAATGATCCCCCGAGGTTTCGAATGGAAGATGCACCTTCAGACGAACACCGCTGCTTGAGACTAGACCAAGTTACTCTAGCATCTCAACTTCGGGGCTGAGCATCACCACTGGTCCGAGTGCATCAGCGCAATGCCGAGTTCAACTAAACAAGGAATTCACGACAACTCCGGCCCCTCTTAGCCTCTCTTGTCATCTTATCCTTCGCCCGGAGCCTGGTCGGGAGGCAACGGGCCACCTAGAAGGCCATCAGGATCCTCCACGGCCTCAGCTGGGAGGAAGGGCTCTCGAGATCTGGACAAACCCAGGAGCTTCGACCAATGGGCGCTGTCATGCGAATTCGAACCTGATCAAGAAGAAGACAAAAGGTCGTCAAGATGACAAGTAGTTGCTGCGAAGCACGAGACGAGTGCTAAGTGCTAAGTCAATGAAACCGCAAAACCCTCACCTCATGAAATCACTGAGCTGGCCGCATAATCCCAGCCTCTTCGGGGCTGGCGGGGGCATCGTTGAAATACAGGGCATGGGCGTAAAGAGTGTTCCAATGGTTGTACAGACAATTTCGAAATCGATTGCGTGGCCGTGTAGCGTACGGCAACCAACATGGATTCGGATGACAGCGAAAGAAGGGAAGGCTTGCGCACGTTCCACGGCACAAAGGCAGGGAAGTTCAGAGTTTTGTTGCTCGGAGATGGAGCAACTGCATATTGAAAACAGAATTCTTAGACATCGTGCGGTCGTAGCCTTACACCATGGGTCGAACCTAGACATTGCTGAAATCTCTGACGAAGCCGGCGCACTGAACTGTGGAGACACAGACACATGCAAACGAACAGGATGAGGAAACATAAAGCAACAACGTGGACGCAGACTCACGGCATGGATTGCAAGATATTGCAAGTGCACTCTGCAAGCGATCGTGAACGCCCGCAGGCCTCCGAGAGTGTCCTCGGCTAACACTCAAGCGTTGCAGCATGAACCCAACCTACACCCTGAAACAAGGTTGCCGATCGATGCAGCCACGTTGCTAGGTGATAGTCGTAACCCCACGTCAGAATGTCCTCGGATGCGAGATTTCCATCGGAAGGAAGTCAAGCCCGAACACCAGTCAGAGTCTCACCTCGTAGATTCCTAGCCACCTCAATTTCCACACTAGGGCCGACCTCGCTCCTCCCGCTTCGAAATCTGTTGAAACCCTGCAAGCCGGGACTTCCCCTGCCTCTTCACGTATACCTCCATGGCCTATTGACTTCTGGTCTCCAAGGCTCCGGATGGCTCGACGGTCCCGACAACCCGGCATCCCGGGCACTGGGGGTG